CCAAGTCATGGATATATACAAAAAGAAATGTGAAACTGGCCTACACTATGTATACAATGCTTTGCAGGCTCTGTTTTTTAAAATTTTAATCACATTTAGGGTCTTTTATCTTCATAAAATATCCAAAAGTACTAATAACTGTCACCATAATGTCAAGCCAATACCTTTCTCATGAATAAGTTTATAGTAGGTCTTGCATAACAAAGGTACAGTGACCATCTGTTGTTGTGAATTAAGTCTGCTTAACACCTGGACAGTGTCCTTAGAGGGAATCAATTCTCCTCATGTCTTTCAACATAGTAGTTACAAGTCTCTCCTGCTAGAATGACCCTAACTGAGTAACTGTGAAGCACAGTCACTGTGAGTCACAGGACTGTTATCTAACAAAGTAAAAATTGCTTTCCCATTATCCTGCCACAGAATGAAATAAATAGCAGCAACAGCAAATAATGAAAAAATTCACCCACATGGATAAGAGTTAAAAATAATATGCTGTTAATTAACTACAGGTCTATTACAAAGGCATCTGTAAGGTACACTGGTCAAGGTACACCAAATGGAGAAATCCCTGATAATTTCTTATCCTCTCATGATTGTTCAAATTCAAAACTACATTCACTGTAACATTCTATTTCTATGAATAACAGAATATGTATGAAATGGGAGGGAAGTTCTTCATGATGTGACATGCATTGATTTTTTTTAAAGCATGTTTAGAGTATCTAAATCTAAAGTTCTAGAGCCCGCCACTAGATATGCTAGATTAAATACACCCTATACATCATTTTACAGGTCTTCTTTTGATTACTGTTTAAGTTATATAACTCAATACTCTTCTTTGTAAACCTAATCAGTGGATACTGAATTAAATCCCACCAAGATTAAATAATCTAAACATGTTCTTTGATTTGAACTTTATAATTTACAATATATATATATATATATTAAGACAAGATCTTAAAGCTAAGACTTAGTGTTTCCATTTATTTCAAAGTAAAAGTTAGGAATCAGTTGTAACAGACCAGGGTTTATGAATAAAATCTCTGTGGACCTGGAAACTTCTGTTCACATACCATGCTTTAACATGTTTAATACAGGAATACATTATTCAGTACTAATGTGGGTAGTCAAATCTTCCTATTCACTGAACTGAATACAATGAGTATAATCATGAAAACTGGGTCACTCAGATAACAAAGTATAGTACAGTCCCTACGACATATCAAAATGCTTCAATCCAATCTACCCCAGAAGGAAGTAGCTTGGTATCGTTTAAGGTTTCTTCTTTAAGATCCACGCAATCTTTTACTGTCTACTTTCTTGCATTTTAACCTGAAACCATTGTCATATATCACATAAAATTTGTTCTCTAGATATTAACTTAAAGATTTATCTAATTCATTTGATTTAAATTCTCCATGAATATATATGATATATCATTGATGTAAGAATTTTTAACTTTTTCACTAAAAGGACATTTTATTAAATTCTTTTAAAATCTAGAACTTTCTAGGATGAGGATATGGCCTTTAGTTCAATATGTAAAGTGGCTGTTTGGTGTTATCTATAGTTATCATCTGGCTAAACAGGATGTTTCATAGTGATACTACAACGTCACTGATTCATCAACACAATAAATCAAGAATGTTTCCAATCAATTCTACTTTTAAGGAATCAATTTCACTTCTGAAACAAAGGGGTCTTACACAAGATCCTTTTTTTAAACCAAAGGATGTTACACACACACACACTACTGTACAATTAACGTTGGGCACAGATAGCCTGCCAAGGGCAATTGAAAATTGAGGAAGGTTTACTAAACATGCTGAAAAAGGCGTCAAGTTTGTCCAATGGGGCTGCTGGAAATTGTACATACATACACTTTTAAAAGTATAATTCCTGATTGTAATGGCAAGTTTAATAACCTCCCACCCCAATTTAAAATCTGCATCATTTGATCAGATCAGCAAAAAATTTGTATAAAAATATATACCAGTAATAAACCCCCTCCTTGCCTGAATTTTTCAAAAATTTGGATGCAAATCTAGAAATATTTAATTTATAGCCTTTACAGGTAGCATAATTTTGTCAAAAAATACAACTACAATGAAGGATCTGAGATTTCAAAAAAAAATTAATGGGGGTGGGGGGTGGGTCTCCATAACCGAAGAAGCAAGAGAGAACATCCCTTCCGTAATATCCCCCCCCCCCCCCACTTCCAATGTGACTTAGCCAGTAACCAAAGGCTACCAGTTTCCAAAATATCCAAAATTCATAAACAAAGCCAGTAGGAATTCACATACTCTGATATTGTTAAGCAAAAACGAATTGATATTAATACAAACATGCAGAAAATCACTCAGCTTTATATGCTGAATATCAGAAAAATAAATAAATAAATAAACAAATCTTTAAAATGAAACATCTTAAATTTTCATTATTAAAATTGCTGAAAGCTATGTCAATTATCCACTTGAAGATGTTATACTTTTAGGTATAGGCCTATTGTATAATTTAAAAAAAACACTGCATGTTTGATTGTTTCATATGAACTACTTAATATGCTGAATATCAGAAAAATAAATAAATAAATCATGAAACATCTTAAATTTTCATTATTAATATTGCTGAAAGCTATGTCAATTATCCACTTGAAGATGTTATACTTCTTGGTATTAACTATAAATGTTGCATTAAAGAAATAGTAAATAAATGAGATGAAATTCCTCTTGTAAATGTAATCAAATTCAGTTTAATATGTGTATACATAGATACATTAATGATCTTAATCACTGTAATTATCAATACTTATCCAGACATTTCATTTTCAACACTTATATCTTAATTACAATGTATGCATATGTTGAAAAAGAAGTCAAACACCATGAAACATTTGGCTTTCATGCACGTACCCGTGAAAAAAAGCACATGGATGCTGTTGTATCTATTTATAGCATAATAACAATGGAAAGGCCCACAAAGGGGGTAACTCAAAAGCTGTCAGTCACAAAAATTAAACTTCAGTATAATTCACATATTTTTATTTTATTACTGAAATGTGTTTGTGATTCTTAGATTTCAACTCCCGAGAAATAAGTACATCTTTATTAAAAATTCATGAATATTGTTTCAAAGCACACGAGGCCGCCATTAGGCGATTTCCTTTATGTTCACGAAGCGTTCACTTTACAGGGCAGACGATTCAAGTGCTTTTTCTACAAGGATTGCATTAAACCAGACGCTTGTTGTCAACATTTCCATACTTACACAAATAGAAACTAAATTTTAACATCCAATTCGATAGAATGTGATTTTTAGGGGGTTTTAACTGCTATTTTTTTGCTAACTTTCTGCACTGAGATCAACACGCATCAACAACGCAGTGCGATTTGGTGGAATGTATGACGGAATGATATCACGAGACTTTTCGTCACTATATATTTTTAAGATCTGTATTAAAAAAAAAAGAAACGAAAAGAGGAGCAAAATAAATCAATGAATTAATAAACAAGTTAAATTGATGGAAAGCATCAAATCGGCCGCAAACAAATTTTAGCATTTCAAAAAGTACTTTCACAATTTTAAAAGCACCCATGCAAAGACAGCACAAGCTATTCAAAGCTGAAATAGTGATCATTTCTTCAAAGCGCAAAAAAAAAAAATCTTTTAAAAGTTAAATAGAAATTTTAGTGCATTTGCTTATCAAATGGATTCATCGATGTATAAAGTCAATGATAAATGAAAAGAAATTATAGTTATCAACATGAAGATGTAGGCATCTCAAGATGAACCATGCACGTGCTGATACCCTGGATCTTTGTAACGTTTTGTAGATTAGGCTATGCTGCAAGGAGCGGTGCAAAATGTAGAAAAAAAATTATCCTTGTGTCATTCACAGCTGTAGCATATTAAACAAAATTTTACTAGTCGAACAACTTTTCAATATTCAAATTTTATCTACCATGCCCTTTTACCACGTCATTATTATCCAGGAAATCATGACGATTTCCTTTCATATCTTACACACTCCCACGTCGGGGAGCATCTATTGTAAACTCTTTTTATATAACCTTAAATTATCAATTATCTGATGAGAAATTATATTGAAATTGAAACATAACAACAATTAATAATTAGTTTTAAGCAGGTTTTAAAAAGAATATTTTATGCATGATTTCATTCGTTATCATTTAAGAATTATTTTACTGAACTAATAAGAAAAATAACGTCTCATTTCCCCATGTGCACTTTCTAACACAACCACAAATAGATCGGCCGCTGCTGCGGCCGAAAATAAATTAAAAAGAATGAATGAATAAATAAATAAATAAATAAATAAATAAATAAATAAATAAATAAATAAATAAATGAATGAATGAATGAATGAATGAATGAATGAATGAATGAATGAATGAATAAAGAAAGAAAGAAAGAAAGAAATAAAAAGGATATGAAATCATATAGAAACAAATTTTGTTTAAGAGTTTTTTCAGCCATGTGTTAATTAATTATTTGTTCTACTGACTGGTATATGAAGGATCGGTATAGAACCCGCATTTTTAATTTCTTGGTCTTATGCGACTGGAACTAATTTGACTGAAATGTCCCTGTTTCACCGAATTTAAACTTAAATATTATTATCAGTAAAATAAATCACACACAACACAAGATCGTTCGATACACCATCCTGAAACCAAGCCTCGGTTGACTTGATGACGCGTTTTTTTTTTAAACTGACATTTCTTGTCTCTATCGTACGAAACATATCGCGCATATTGATCAGACAGACAGGTCAGTCTTTTTTTTTTTTTTTTTTTTGCTTTTTCGTTTTGTGAAATAATAATTCTTAAATACAAAGAAACTTGATCGAAATTGATTTGCAAATTATTAATTTGGGTTTATCTTTTGAAAAGTAAACTGTGTTTATAAAAATCATTGATATATGAAAAGCAATAAAACCAAATTTCCTCACAAATGAGCAAAATTCTTTTTTATTGTCTACTTCCGTCCAAGTCATGTGATTGTTCAAAATGGCGGATTGTTTTTGTTGTTGAATGCTGAATCAATCATGAAGAAGCCAAAAACAGGAAAAACATATACTTTAGATTTATAAAATCGTTCGGAAACGGTAAGTTCTTACATGAAAGCAACGTTATGGGGAGATATTTTTATAAAGTAATGAATATTTCAGAGTTTTTTTACGGAATGATCGTGGAATGGTCATTAAAATGACCTTGTTCGCAATATAAAAGACTATCGTTGGGTGACTTGCTTTTTAATTGCTTTATACTAGTCAGAGCAATCTGACTGAGCCTTTACTATTGTAAAGCTAATTATACTGATCCAGAATGCACAAGCATTTCCTGATCGAGTTTGATCAATTTTTTATTGAAACTGTGTTCCAGGCTACTGACAAGTAAGTTGATGTTATAGGACTTTCAATCTCATTTGATATCAGCGATGGTAGAATACCCAAGAGGCCCTTAGATTGAGTCTCAGTTAAGAATTAATTTTCCCCACCCGTGACATATGTTATATGTAATATGTTTTACGTTGTGACCGTTGGGGCGAGTGCAGTTATGTACTATCAATAACCTACATATGCACTGCCTATCATTCAAGAAAAAGAAAGAAAAAGAAGAAATGAAAACAATAAAAAGAAATCACTTCCCGAGCATCGGGATCGAGATTCCAAACTTCTCGAACGTTTCCGACAAAATCCGAATACCCGAACCGTTTAAGTGACGAAAGTATGACATTAGATAAAAAGTTCTGTTGACCTTGGACGCAAACGATAGTTTTTTGGCATGGAGATTGCATTAAATAGTTGTTTGTAATTTTTTTCATGTAAGTTGTTGCTATGTTTAGCCACCATGTTGCTATGCTCCGCAAAGGATGATTGGGAGTTTGGAATTTTTTCAGGTGGATTCATAAAAATATCTTGGAACAATGTGCAGATTTAAATCCGAATTTCCTCTGTCCATACACGTTAGTCTATTGAGCTCACCATGCGAGTGGCGCTTCGCGTCGCCTCTCTGCGCTCGCTATTACTGATCAAAGTTCATCTATTTAGCTTATTTGGCGGTTTAGTTTATCAAACTTGCAATGATGAACTCTATTGACTCAAATGTTTGCATTGGATACTACATTTGACCTATACTTTACACTTCAGTACATGTTATTTAAAAAAGACTAAAAATGAAATATATGGAAATAGCAAACAGTATTCAAGCACTAAGTCCAATACAAACAATACGAATCAGGAGTAGAGCAAACACAGACCACTTAAACATCAGCTAAGTAGGATCAGGTGCCATGGAGGAGTGACCATCCCCTGCTGACAGATCACTTGGCTGTGTGCTCCTTGTCATGATCAGGAAATGAAGGGAAATTTCACTGACAATTCAGTGGGTAAATAATGACCTAACAATTAGCATGAAAAATGTCAGTCAGCATTTGACTTGAATGATGGATTGTATTTGCTGACAAGTTATTGACCATAAAACTTAAGAAATTATGACTTTAAAGAAGATTTCTGATATTCTTGTTTTATTAACTTGCCTGTCAATAACATATCTTGTTTTAGAAATTGTTCATACATAGAGCTCTTGCATTTAATCAAATCAACCGAGAGACCCTGTTTGCAGCAGATAATTGAAAGGTATAATGCCACAGATTAAGTAAGGGAATTTGACTATTGAAAAGTTATTAAGCCATCACACTTATCATTAATCTTTATTGTTAGATTACCATTAATGACCTTTTCTATTTAAATAATTTTATCTCCAGCTTATCATAAATAAGGTAAAAACTTAAAAACCTGTTAAAATATTGATGAAAACATGCAGTATTTTTAATGTATCATTGTTTTACTAGATTTAATTGTTCCCCTGTGTAACCCAGTTATGAGCACTTGTTCAAAGTACATATTATTTATTGCATATGTGGAACAAATGATAGTGAGGAGTTTAAATTGTTATCAGTCAGACCATTTGATATCTTATTTTCTGTTTACTGATAACTGACTTAATTGTAGTGGATGCAGACTAAAATTATCCAGGGAAATGTGGTGGCAAAATGTTTGTTGTTAAACCAAAAGCGATTCTGCGACATGTACAGGAAGGAGAGGAGATTTTGTGGATAAAAAATGATTTGAACACGATTGATGGAGCTCAGGCTAATGACCCGGCAACTATCCTTGTCAGGTAAAAGAGAAACTATACAAATGAATGCAAAGTTCAGCAAATTTTGTTTGCTTGCTGTCTGGCCCTTAATTGCATATATTTTACTGTGCCTCAGTATTTGGGATGCTGATTGCTGATAAAAAGCTGCAGATAGAACTATCCCACTCAGTCACTATATTATAATACATGTAGTTATTGATCATTAGCTAGCGCTGCTATACTCAGTATACCTGCTAGTCCCTGAATTGAGATCTTTTTTGATAGCGTCTACCGATCATGCAGTTCACACTGTTTCATCTGAAGGAGAAGCTAGAAATAGCTAAAAATTAAGTTTGAAAACAGATAGAGGAGAATTATTTTTAGCTTTTTTGATTACTTCAGGTCAGAGGTCAGGAACAAAAACAAAAAATGATAAAACAGAAATTACTGATATGTATATATCATGATTAATGTATATATCATGATTAATAACTTAAAATTTTAACGCTATGGATTTTTTAGACACTTACCGGTATTTAATAGTTTTCGAATATATGAAAAACAATTAGAGGAAGACATTTGCAGATTTTGAGGCCAAACAGTCAAAGGAAAGGTCAAAATTATTTATGTCTTCTTCTGGTAATGTGCTTGACTCCAGTGTTGGACAATACATGTACTGCATTCATATTAAAAGTTATAGAATTTTTCAATGAACAATTAGGAAAGTTTATTATGCAGAGCATATTTCTACATGTAGATTTCCTGTCACAATTAAAAATGATATTTTCAGAGTTAGTGGTGGTTATAAGATGAAAACCATGCATGCATCCATTTTATGAGGTCAATTCATAGTACACATGTAATTATATATAACTTCACAGAAAAGCATATTGACTGAGCACAAAGTGGAAAAAATGGCTTAAAACTCCAACGAACATTGAGGTTTATGAACTGTTTGCATTTGCTTAGAACATAAAGTAACTAGAAAAAGACTCTAATATTATAACATTGAATTTCTGTTGATTTTTTTTTCAGGAAAAGCCAGCTGGTACAACAGATCCATCAGTATTTTGGAAGTCTGGAGTAAGTTCTAGCCAATTTTTATACTGCATAGATATGTATAACTCATAAATTCTTTTTGTTTTAAGAAATCACACATTTTTGTAACTCGTTGTTCTGTAATGCATCTTTCTAAAAGTGCACTGTACCATTTTATTAAATTGTTTCATATGCTGTAACTGTCTAATGAAGAGTTGTGTTAATTATGAACAGGCCCAGAAAATGCTGCCTGGCTTTATCAGGATGTAAAACCTCCTTCAGCAATGTCAGACTTGTAAGTATACAAGTATAGTCTTTAATTGTAACATGTAACTTCACATTTTCAATGTACCGGGTACATTTTATTTGTCTAGAGAAGTAAGATAATTAAATCATGACAATTAATTATAGGCAGAAAATATAATTTGTCTTTTAAAATCAGCTGGTCAGATATTTGTATTTTGTAGGTGAGGAATGATGGAAGAGATTCTGGGATTGAGGAAGGTCAGTGTTTAAAATACTAGGATTGCACTCTGTATGTGTGTTTGTGTGTGTGAAGTAATACTAGGATTGCACCTTGTATGTGTGTTTGTGTGTGTGTAATATACTAGGATTGCACTCTGTATGTGTGTTTGTGTGTGTGAAGTATACTAGGATTGCACTCTGTATGTGTGTTTGTGTGTGTGAAGTATACTAGGATTGCACTCTGTGTGTTTGTGTGGATGGGTGGGGGAGGAGGTTTGCTGGTGAGAAGAATGGGGCTTACTGTTTTTTTCTTTAGTTATTCAGTCTGAGTAGGAAAAGCTAAGACCGCAAAATACACATACTGTCAACATGGTCAAATAGATAATTTTCATTTGAATAGCATTGAATCAATTTAAAAGTGAGAACAATGTGCATTTAATGAAGAAACACAGCATTAAAAAGTCATTGAAATCTTAATTGATTTATTATAAGCTGGAGATAATTGATAACAATTATAATTGCAGGCAATTGCAATATTTTTATCAGCAAGATTTGGTCTGACTTAGAAAAGCTAGATTAGTAGCCTGCTAAATAATTTGTTTTATATATATATATACTGAGTATAGTATTCTTAAGTTCAGAACAGTCCCATATGATAAATTGTTAATACATGTAATACAATAATGAATCTTTGTTTTGTAAGAAAACCAAAGTCACTGTTACCATAATTCGTCTGTTTTCTCTCAGCAATGTACATTATGTAGGAAATAAACACTTTACAATAAATTCAATTGAAGTAGAAAAAAGTAACAATGTAGACAAATACTCCTAATGTTCAATGTCTTTTGTCTATAGGTGCTATGATTCGGTCCCCAGTAGATGTAACTGAAACCTTTAAGGAACTCAATGCACAGGCAAGTTGTTATTACATTATAGCTTACATTATGAATGTCAAAAGAAAGTTGATACAGACAGAAACTTCCGAGGACATCTAACTTTGATTAATACTGGCATGGTTAAAATTTCATCAATGTAACTTGAAGACATGAAGTTTATAGTTAGTATCCAAAGTTGGTTGCAAAAAATAATCAAGGAACTGAAATGAGTGTTTTTGTATGACACTTACACAGTGGTACATGTATTTGTAGAGTGTATCAAGTGATTTGTAAAATGTTTTTACAAAAGTGATTTTAAAGACCTTTTAAAGAACTGTTAATGACTGGAGCTTTATGTAATTCATGTTGCAGGAAGAGAGGGTGTTTATGAGGGCGTACTTGTGTGCCTCCTATCCTGTTTTGTGTGCCCCAGAACCCCCCTCACCTCTCTCCCCTCCCCCTGTACCCTCCCAGAGCAGCAAAAAGTAAGTAGTTAACTTTACTGTGGTTAGCATTTATTGTAAGCTTGATAAGTTTGGCTTTGGTTAGCTGAGTATCTTGTACAATTCCAACTGTTTGAGGGGTTGGGGTCGACTCTGATTTTGTATTCACTAAATTTTGAATGATTCTAAGATATGCATTAAGAGTCTCTGAAGGCCCTCAAACATGTGTTCTAAATTCTGATGAAAAACTTTAATGAAGAACAAGTGCCATTTGAAAGATTCTTGTCTTGTACTCCATTTTAAGGAAGTTTCCTAAATATGAATGTTTTATTGATTTCATCTACTGTAAATTTTGGATAAAGAACTTAAATAGATGGCCATATTTAGCATGAATCTTAAGTATAATATGACGTTAATGTTATACATTGTATCTGTTTATGTTATACATTATATTATGTACTTTATAGGTTTCAGTACATGTTATACATTGTATTCTGTATTTTGTAGGTTTCAGTTCGCAGGTCAGCTGACCATTGTACGACCTCCGACCCCAGATGACAGCGGGCTGGAGGAAGATATGTCAGTCGTCCCTGCAGACACACTTTTTGAGCTCTTAAGAAGAACTTTTCATCTGAGCCAGGATAAATTCCATCAGTATGAGCACCAGATTTATAGACAACACCAGAAGAAAGAACCAAGTAAGGTAGGGAGATAAAATCACTTGGGTCACAATATTGCTGACCTCCTTTATCATTTCTTCCTAATCCACCCACTGGAAAAAAGCTTTAAGAATAAAGCAGAGGAAAGAATATTTCAGGGAAATAAACAATACCCAATAAAGCTTACATGAAGTAATTCACCTGCGGAATATCATTTCTCAAATTCACAAAGTAGAAAAAAATAAGTTAAAATTAGCCTAAGTTGACTAAACTTGCATAGATGATGTCTACCAAATTGGCTTTAGATGGTTATTCTGACCTTAATTTTTAGATGAGTGACCAGATTAATGAAAGTTTTTGGAGTGAGATTTACTCCCAAGGAGGTTATAAGCCCTTCCTGGATAAAACGTGCATGTATGATGATCTATAAAATGAAATGCATAGGGATATACACTGACTGAACTTGCATTGATGATGTATGTTAGAGTGCACTTTACCAGATACTTAGGAATCTGGATCTGACTTTCAATTACAAGATGATTAAACAGGTGAAGTTTGGGGAGCAGGCTACCAGTATTTTCAAGAGGTCATAAATTCCTAGCCTGACCAAACTCGTAAAGATGTTACATCTAGGGAGGGACAATACCAGAGCATTTGAATGAATTGAGACTTTGCCTTACTTTACATATGAGGTAACATTAACTGAGCTGAGCATTGCAATCTTGTGATTACCAATATTATGGAATTAAAAGGAGTTTTAATTTGCAACATGCAAAGGTAGGTGTGGATTTAAATTCTGATCATATAATAAATAATCTAAAATGTTGTTGTCTTTTACTTGTTTTACGGGTACGTAACCTATATCTGAACACATGTATTTGATTTCAGATCTTAGCTGAGGAACTTGTGGGACAGTTAGCTCTACTGGAAAACGATCTGAATCCTTATTATAATCCAGAGGCATTTATGGTAACAACACCTTACAATTTCTTACAAGTATTTTATACTGTTTCAATTACCGGGTATATACTGTTATAATTCAATACCTAAAAGTTCTGAAAATAATTCTATAGTGAAGAATGAACATTGTAACAAGGAAATACATGTAGTTTTATACATTTGGAGGTTTTCCTCATTAGCTGTACTGGTATAGGAGACCTGCAGAGTATATATATAAATGTGTCTGTTGTGACATGACCAACTAGCAGTCAATTCTTATCTTCTGTGTGTTTGTAAAAGGAGTTTAAGTCTTGGGAAAATGTTTCCCGTAGTGCTTAATGTTTAATGTAGAATTACAGTGTGATTGGGGACTAGTTGTTTAGATTTCCTTTCTTTGTTTCAGTCACCCCTTGGATATGAATCATGGAAGAGGAAGGAATTTTCACACATTGCTGAGTTGCTGAAGAAGTTTTGGCATACTGCCTATCCACCATTGTCCAATAACTACAAACAAAACCAAAGGGGAATACTGGAAGATTACAAGATACTTTTGTTTAAAGTTCTCAGGCAAGGACATTAATTAAAGTTGATTTCTTCATAAAATTTTCAAATAAAAATTATGATTTTTTAAGAAAGGAATATAAAACTCTGCATTTGATTTTGTTGAGGATTGCTGATTTTTTATTGCAAGAGATCTAATTTTAAAGGTTATAAAAATCTTTACATCTAATATATTTTTGTGGGTTTCAGATATGAGTCACCATATAGGGTAGAAGGAGATTTACTCGCCCCTGGACTTTCATGTCTGCTGTCATCTGCATCTGTTAGATTACTGAGAGAATTCGGACTCAGATATGGCATTGTAAGAAAATCACTAAAAAAGATTTATTAAATAAATGCTTTAAATCTGGTAATTGTTAAGTAATGGACAAAGAACAATTATATTTCAATTCCCATGAAAGAGCTTATAATATGCTGTGTGATTTGTAGAGAGATGTATACAGGAAGTTGGTTTATCTACAGTACCTGACTGGTCACTTTGTACCTTCGGCTTGGTTTATTCAGCATGCTTGTAGTACTCTGTCATCAGTGCTGGACCTGCTGCCAGCCTCAGGGGCTAGTAATATACTGCTAAAAGAAGAGGTAATGTGTTCTTTCATATGAAACTTGTTGTATTCATAACCAAAATGAAAGAAATTTGACACTAAATCTTATGTTTATATTAAGTTAAATTTTTAGCTAGCAATGGTTGAGTAGATTTGTATTTTGGAGTATTTCAGAAAGGACAGAGACATTGCTCCCATATTTCAATTGTTCCTCTTTAATCATAATGTTTGTCAATTGCTTGATTTACATTTTAGCTCACCTTAACTGAAAGCTCAGGTGAACTTTTCTAATCACCAGATTTATGGCATAGATCTGTCTGTCTAGCTGTCTCTCCATCTGTCTACCTGTCTGTCCATCTGTAAACTTTTCACATTTCAAATTCTTCTCAAGAACCACTGGGTCAATTTTAATCAAACTTGGTACAAGGCATCCTTGAGTGAAGGGTAGTTTTTGTCAAAATATAGAGCTAAGTCCCCTTTTACAAGGGGAGATAATTATGAAAAGACAAAAATAGAGTGGGGCCATTAAAAAATCTTCTCAAGAATCACTAGGCCAGAAAAGCTGAAACTTATGTGGAAGCATGATTTCAAGCATCCTGGGATAGTGTAGATTCTAAATTGTTAAAATCACAACCCCTGGTAGCTGCAGAACTGTAGTTCTCCGGAAAAAAAAAAGTATAAGTAGAATATTTAGCGAGGATTTAATTTTGGCGATATTAGCAAGGGTGCCAGGATCGCTAAAATTGAATATCGCTAAAAATTGATTGCGTTTTATTTGTAATAGCTTTTTTAATATGCATTTTAAAAATCACTAAAATAACATCTCGCTAAAAATAAATTACCAGTTTTTAAGGACAAATCGCTAAATTTGCATCACAAAAAATTTCCACTTATATGGTATTGAAAGACCGGAGAGCTACAGTGCCATCCATTGAAAAAACTGTATATTTATTGTGCACAAAAAAAGTGCGCTGTTGCTTGATTTACATGTATTTCTCCTTGTTTTTGAACTTTCATCTCGAAATATTACTAACCGTGTATTCCTAACATATTATTGCACTTATTCCACAACAAAACATCCCTTATAATTGTTGTAAATAGTCCTCTTGGCCTTGAAATTAAGATGATTGAAAATTTCTTCTTATACTGCCATTTTGGTTTGCAAGATAATTCAGGCCAACATGCTTCGTACAGACGAGAATACTTGACAGAAAAGTAAGGAATTTTTTAAATCCATATTTTTTATGATTAAGGTAAGAATTTGGAAGTATTAAACCAGAACTTAGCACAACTTTTTGTGTACAATAAATATACAGTTTTTACAATGGGTGGCACTGTAGCTCTCCAGTCTGTCAATGTTTTTTTTTTCGGAGAGCTACAGTTCTGCAGCTAGCCCCCTGGGGTTATGGCGGGGCCACAATAGGGAATCCAAGTTTTACATTGAAATATATAGGATACATCTTTAAAAATCTGCTCAAGAACCACTGGGCCACAAAAGCTGAAACTTATGTGGAAGCATCCTGGGGTAGTGTAGACTCTACATTCTTCAAATTATGACTCCTGGGGGTATGGTGGGGTCACAATATCTATTACATTGTGGAAATCTGGCCAAAGTCACCCAGGTGAGCAATGTGGCCCATAGTTCTCTTGTTTATGATAAAATTTTACAAACTTTGTAGTAGAATGAAGAGACACAAAGTTCTGAAACTATTAAAGCAGTTAATTTGCTCCTACTTGCTTGTAATCAGAATGTGGGTATCAAGATGCCACAGATCAACAAATGTATTTCAGTCTGATCATTTTATCGTGGAGTTATTCATGGATCACACATGTACCGTATTATATTTTACTGCAGGTTCTAACAATGATGTCTTTTGTAGTATGACATTTTAAAGAAGAGTCTAGAAGCAATAGAGAAGCTGTGTCACTCCAATATCTGTAAGATGAAGAGTTTGTTTCCTAACAACATACCCTCCGATGGCTTAGGTATTACGCAATATTTTCTCACTGACAGATTTTTCATGTGACTTTATAATATAATTTCGGTACCAGAAAAGTCCTAAGGACCTGTAGATTTATTATATTTTTATATGAAGCAGTTACTTTAGATTCCTGTATTTATATATACGGTAGATTTGTTATGAATATATCTGTACAATAAGGTGATTAGTTTATATTTCTGTTTGACAGATTCCTTAATTTATTTGGTAACTTTGACTCGGAGGGGCTGTGAGTATCTTCGTGACAAGAAAGTGTCCAGTGTAGAAGTATTCCTCAAAAACTGTGTACAGGTGATCCTTTAATACTTCCATTTCTATTTCTTTTCTCTGTAATAACTCTTTGAAAGTTAGGTGAGTTGATTTCTTGAAAATTCAATGTGAATGAAAATTTTGCAAAGTGAAAAGTTGGGACCTAAGGAGCCTAATATGCATGTAAATCTCAGGTAGCTGCCTTTGTTTGTGACATGGAAGGCCTCATGTAATTTAAATCTATTATACAACATTTTTAGGTCACCTATTGCTTTTATGTTTTCGTCTGTCATCATGCGTCATTCGTTGTGCATTAACTTTTGAACATTTTCAACTTCTCTGAAATTGCTGAACCAATTTCAACCAATATTGGCATATACCTACAGCATCTTGTGAATTCATGTCCCCTGCACCTGAGGGATTGGCCTAAAACTATCGAAATTTATGCAATCTTTAAAATCTTCTTCTTTATTCCTGGACATCAAGCAGTCTGTTAGCATGATTGCCAGGGACATCAATGACATTTAGAAATGTGGGATAATTAATGCATGACAGGTTTTTTTTTCTGATGTGTTTACAGAGCATTTTTCCAGTGTGCTATGAGGAGCATAAAATTGTAGCAATAAAGGATTTACATCAGAAAGGGATTGGACTCTCACCGACACTGGTCAGTTAGGGTATCCATTCAATATAGACACTGTACTTTTAATAGCTTACCTAGACAGTAAAGCAATGAAATGATCTGTTAAAAATGACAAGATATACAGATGCAAAAAAAAAAAGTGAAAGCTGGAAATAGGTAATTACATGTATCAACATATTCAATGGCAAATAATCATGTAATTTTTAGATGAACAAAATGATTTGTAAGATGAGGGATGAAGTCAAGGATTACAGAGACCACTACCAGGAGACTTTTGAGAAGTAATTCATTTAATATAAATAATGATTTCTTATATTACTCACTGAATCATGTATGTTTCACATTACTTTATCTCCAGTAGAAGCCTTTAGCATTTATGCAAATTATCATGCAATCCAATCGATTGATCACATCCTGAAACCAAAAAAAATTGACAGTTATTCCGTAAATAAACTCTAGGTATTGTCTTAAAATTCTCTTCCATGGGGGAGAAAACACCTGTTTACATCATTTTACATATATAAACACGTTTGTAGATATTTCAACATAACATTGATGGCTGCCCAAAGCTTGTACCACCTACTGATGAGAGATGTAGAAAAAGTTTGTCAAAATCAGCCAGTATGTATTAATTAGAATTTCTTATCTTTTTCAAATTTCTTGTGGTACACATATGCAGAATTAAAGTACATGTACATGTATGATGAATTTCTTTCATTTATTGTTATATTTAACTTGACTCTTCTGTAAGCCTCGATCAGTATTTCTTGAACACATTAGGGAGTTTGTATCATTGTTAAGAAAGATTTGAAAAAATAGGAATAGTTCCCATAAATCTCCTCCTATTTGAATTGTAGTCAGATTTGGACAAATTTAAATGATTGACATTATAGAAATAATTTTTTTTAAAAAGAATTTCTTTGATAAATAACTCTATGTAAATTGGAAGTTTAATAAAAGATATTTCTGTAAACATATGATAATAATTACATTCGCTGTGTTTTTCTACCAAGCAAACTTTGAAATTGGTTTGAAAACTCATGCGTAGAAATATACACGGAGAAATGTGCGCTAACGTGACATCACAATGAGGCTACAGCAACTAAAGTAAAAAAGCAACGATATAGGGCAGGGAGAAATTCAAACATTGAGTATATTTTTTATGCTTTCAAACATTTAAAATGTAAATATAAGGAATGTTTAATAATAAATCACACAGACTTGCACATAGGCATATTTTTCATGAAACGCTAGTACGCTTTATGAAATATGCCTAGGTGACAAGTCTGTATGGTTTACACACCAATGAATCACACAAAACTTAAAAACATTCCTTAAATATTACAGATTTGATGTTTGACAATTTCCTTGTTTAGATTTACCAATTTGAAAATCTGATGATTAACTAAGGATTTCAAGTTGTCCAAAGCAAGCAAAAAGCAGAGACTGCATTAAGTCAGTGAGTACCTCTCTGGTTCTTATAAGTTATGACCAGATTTGTTACTTTATTGTAGCGGACTGGCGACATAGACAAGTGCATGCTGGGACTGGCCTATAGACTGGACCAATTGGATCGTTCCTGGGTCGCCTTCATCTCCGAGGAGTAAGGACTTTAAAATAGATCTCTAAAATCGTAATTCTGACATAGATGCATTTCACTGTATTGCTCCTGTAAAGATTTAGGAATTTGTTTAATCTACTTTTAACTTCCTATTTTTGTAGACAGCAAACTTGGAGAACTTGGTTTGAAAAAATGCAAGTTCACTGGATTGAGTTTCTCACACTTAAGCTAAACAAATTTATGCAGGAGGCAGTGTCAAAAGACAAGGTAAACAGTGCTTATATATAATTAATGTTTAGTGTCTGCATATAGAAAATGTGCATTCAATGGACTATGGCAGAAATAACATATTATTTGGTTCAAGAGGTAAAGTTCATTTTGCTATTCAATTAAAGATTAGAGTTTGTGCTTGTGTTGATCATTTGTCATTGTTTGCAAAATATTTAAAAGAGGGAGAAGAGGGGAAGGGAGGAAATTTCTAATGCTTTTTAGAAATGATCACATATATGAATTGTGTCTGCACATTCATTGATAAATACTGAGCGACCTAATGAGCCTTTAGAAATGTAATGATCTTGCTTTATATAATTTACAGTTTAGGAGAGCAATAGTTGATAATATTGATAACATCATTGAGACTCCCTCCAGTTCCCTGTTGGGACACAGGATCCGATCCGTGTCCAGTAAGTCCATTACGCCGTCCCTCAATAGTGCCTTCAGTGGTCTGATGTCCAGCTCTCTCCACTCCACTCCGCTCCACAGTCACTATACGCCAGTCCAAAGACAGGTACACTTACTGAGTTAAAATTTGTTTGGTCCTACATATATATTTGAAAAATCTATTTAATAAACAGAGAAGATATTCTGATTTCTATTTAAGAGACAAATGATATACTGTAACCATTGAAAATTTATAGTAAAAATAATTTGGAAACATTTAACCTATATTTGATCATTGCTTACACTGGTAGAAAGACTAAGGTTCTCTTTGTGCATGAAAATAAGCCTTTAGAAATGCTAAATTGTCAGTTGTCACCATAGACAGAGCTTGTACAAAGGATTACAATGGAAAATCTTGCAATAATCCTTTATAAATACATCTCAGACATGTTGGTAAGGAACTTTTTGTAGCTGTAGCGGTTCATTCTACCTATTCCCACTTTTTGAAAATCAGGTCGAAAAAGGTAAGATTTAATGTGGGTATAGGTGGAATTTTTGTGTAAACAAATAATTAACTATGAAAACATATCAATACTGTACAAACAATGATTAATGAACACCTATTGGAATAGAGGACAGGTATATTTCTTTATTAAATTATAAATGAGACTTTTTACTAATATTTGAAAGAAAAAATGGATTTTTAGTAGAATTAAATTACATTTTTTCTCCGTTAATATATTCATTCTAAAATCCACCTATTTGAATGCTTTTTTTTCAATAAATCTATTTATTTTATGTTCTTAAATTAAGATATTAAGTTGCTTTTTCTTGTAAGACCTTTTTATTATTTCAAAAATCCGAAATAAATTATATTTTTTTCATAGATGTATTCATTATTTTCTGTCGTAATATTACAAAATACAGGTAAATCTAAAGAACAGGTGTAATAAGTCTAGTTACTGTAAAAACAAATTAACTATCTAAACATCTATTGTTATTTGTAAGTGGGAATAGGTGGAATTGAGATTTTTAAAAAGTGGGAATAGGTAGAAGACACCGTTGTAACTACAGTGGACCTTCAGATATCCGGACGCTAGATATCCGGATGCTTCAGTATCCGGACGACTTTTCATTGAAATGGAATTTTTCAATGTTATTTTGTCTTGTTTAACTGGTAATTCAGGTATACGGACGTTTCACATATCTGGACAAATTGACTAGGAACCAAAGCATCCGGGTAAATGAGGCTCCACTGTAATTTATTTTGAAAAAGTGAAACATTATTGTAGTTTGGGTTTTTCTGAAAGTGTGTTGCCTTGCGTGTGCTTAAAAAGTAACCTGAGATGTCTATTTTTCAGGATACAAAAGAGAAACATTCCCACTCTAAACAAATCAAAGACTCTTCTTCAGGCAGATCTGGTGCCTGGTTCAGTAAGATGCATGTTTCCTCTTCAGCCCCAGGTCCATTTGGGGACACCCAGTCCCTCTGTGAGTTTTCAGAGGAGGAGGAGGAGGGAGGGGTCATGACCTTTTCTAACCTCCGACACAGTTCCTCTGTCCCAGAGATGTTGAGTAAGAGTTATGACCATCATCTTGATGTACCACGGCCTGGTTTAAAATTTCCAAACTTAAAAAGTGACGGAAACGGGTCGGAAGACTTCAAGAAATTGTTGAAAATAAATAGTTCAGTAAGAACTCCACCTGCTGGTAATTTTGACACATGTGACAACAGGGAACTATCAGACCACCTGAAATCTAGTGCAGATGATGAAATTGTTGATATTATTCAAGGTGATTTAAAAAAGGAGACCAACAATAAATTGGATAGGGAATTCAAACCAGAAGAAACATCAGATTGGCATGAACATCAGCCCACTGAAAAAAGTGCAGGAAACGAAACTGAATTGACCCCAACAAATGATTGTCATCAACAACTACTGAGTGAAAATGCCATGCCTGTTGGTGACAGTTACCATGGTGATGGGGGAGATCAGGATTCGTTAGCGGGGGAGTTCACCCAGTCTCTGGAGGAGGGGGAGGGGAGGGAGGGGGACCAGGAGTCCATGTCCAGCACACAGGACTCTCCCGGACAAAATTTTGATTTCCCACCCATGGTTGAAGTTGTTACTCTGGACAGTGAAAAATTAATTGAAAATGAACCAACTCAGAAAGCAGAAAGGCAGCATGTACACGAACAGCGTGAAGTTTTATTGTCTACTAAAGAAAACAAAGATCCTGGATCCTCCTCTGAAGTAGATAGTTCCTCCCCTGAGAATCAGACCTCATCCTCTGATAATCAGGTTCCATTAAGTCCTCTTAAGAAGGCTTACATTCCTGTGTCTAGTTCCCTGTTTGATGTGCTGATTCTCCTACAGCGGACAATTGGCTTCAGTAAAACTCTCTGTCAGACATTCTATAAATCCAGTCATAGGACGTCAGACTTTGAGAGTTCCTTCTCCTCCTCCACGACGACTAGCAGCTGTTATAGTGGGGAAATCAGGAGAAAACTTTACACTAGATTTAACGAGGTAAATATCTGTTTCTTATTTAAAAAAAAAAACATAATTTGGGAAAATAAATTTTCAATTCAATACATTAATAAACTATAGAAATTACTATATTGTATAGCTTAGAGTAAAAATGTATCAATCACAATTTTGTAAATTGAATTGTTTGCACCCACATTGGTGTAGGTGGTTTGTTCTTTACTGATGGATTATGCTGACAACATTCTGTGTTTGGATCTCTGTGGTACTACTTGTAACGAGGGAATAAGACTGGTGGGGACAGAGGTCAGTGTAACTTAAGCTTCGATTCTTAAGCAGCTCTGGTGCTTGTCTTTATTATTTAAACTTTGCAATTACATGAATTAATACCTTGACCAGTATATCATACTTTCAACATGCACCTTCTTTTTCAAGGAGAACTGATTTTTTTTTTCAATAGTTGGTGAGACATCTTCAGAAGTATAAGCAGTCGGGTAAGGTCTGGGGATGTCGCCATCAGATTGGAGGTGTCAGGGACTGCTTCCAGTACGTCAACAGACGGACCGACATGTTGTGTGATCGGTACGAGCCCATCACTCAGGCTGTAAGTCAATACAATATTCACTTGGTGCAACTAATGTGATCAGTCCATGATTTTGCAAGTTTATAGATCTTAATTCTTTCCTGAGTGTCTACTGCAGGATATTTGGTTGATCAACTGTTACTGTAGTACCAGTCTTAAATAGCTGTCACTTTTTGTTTCAGATGTGTGTCCGCATGAATATTGTGTCTTCTCTCCTGTCTTTTCATGAAGTCTTTCACAAGAAGTTGGCCTCTGTTTTTAATTATGAGTGGAGCCAGGTCTCTCCTGCAGGTGCATAGTAAAATAAAGATTTTCTATTGAATGAATTTTAATGTACATGTACCTGGAAAGTGGATACACTTTTTATTTAAATACTTAGGAATATTGAGATTATTATCTTATTTTTAAAATTTTAAAATAATATTCAATACATCACAGGACTGCGATACAAACAAAGACTCTTTTGTGTAGATGTCTGTATTGTTGTTCTATCTATCATTATCAGTGTAATTTCCATAATCTTCTCTTTTTCAGAATTCTATGACCTCCCTGAAGGCACCTGTGAAAATTCCATGGAGGCATGCAAAATTCACTTTCAGGCTGTTGTGAGGTCTTTGGCAAGACTTATGGCATATCGAGTAAAGCAAAACATGTTATTTTTCTTTACAAATTTTGAATAAAAAATAGTATTTTAAAATCAGTATCTATTCAGGTGACTTTAGCTGTCCAATCCAAATCCTACTTTGTGTGATTTCTATGACCAAACACTTTCATTGTTTTCATAAATGGCTGAACCAATTTTGGCATTTTTGAGTAATGGTAGAACAAAGTTTATCAGTAAATACCCTCCGTAATTGGCCTTTGGAAATATCTAAATCCATTGAAATTACTGCAATAGTATAAAATTAATCCTCAATAACTATCTTAATATGAACAATTTATCACAAAATTTGACTGGGATACACATTCTCTAGATAAGAAATAAAAAAAAAATCTTCATAAATGCTCACACTTTATTGTAAAGGTTGCTTTATGTTTTAACTTTTTAACTCAAGGGTCCTTTATGGCATTGGTTAATTGTATCTTTTGCAAAGTTAGTCTCTAGAAGGAAAAAAAATGAAATTCTTCATACTGTAGTACAGTGTAGATACATACTACATAGGCTCATGGGGCTTTTGGTGAAAGCTATGGTGTGCTGCACTTGAACTGTTCAGTTGTATCCTATGTTTTTTGTTTAGCCTCTGTAGACAGGGTTCCTTGCTGTTTCAGTTAAATCTGTTTGTGTACAATGCCATGACGATGTTCCTGGGCCAGAGAGACGCGAGGCGTAATGTGACCCAAAGCCTGGCTCCTCTCACACAGTTCCTCAGCTCCTACATTGACCTCCTCAATCAGTGGCTGTATCTAGACAACTTCCATATTGTCATGGAAAATCTGTGGATTTTCATTGTGCAGGTAGCACTTCGGCCTTTATTACCAAAAATAACATGATTGTATATATTATCCAATTTTGATGCCTGCAAGGACTTAAAATATCACCACTGTGACCAAATATTAGCACATGAATGATATTCAATACTTTGTTGGAGATTGGTTGACAGGGGATACTTACTCCCACATGGCATCTGATCTCATCTCTGATAGTGTTAATGGACCATGTTTACTCTCCTAAACAATTTCGGATAATTGCTTAAATGGCTTTTGAGCTTGATTATGTTCATCATCTTCATATTTTTCATAATTTGTTTCAGAATTTTGAGAAAGAAGTTATTAAATTGGCACATAGTGAAAATTCTTTGGAAGAAGCCAGGCAGTTGGTACAGGCTTTTACTGTAAGTGTTACTAGCAGGAAATATGTAAACATCTCCATCTCTTGATACATGGCGATTTGTAACTTTCAGAATATGAAACAAGTCACATACAAAACATATACATGCATTCATCAAGTGAATTGATTTTGTATTTATCATTATTACACTGTAGAAGCATAAATGAAAATGACAAGTACTAATTCAAGTTAAGTTTACTTATCAGTTGAAATTTTTAACCAAAATACCGATAGTATAGTGCACCCCTTATGCACCCTAAAACATGCTCTAGCAACATATGAATTAACAGCAGTACATTTTAATAAAAGTTGAATTGTTGTAAAGTGTATGTATTGATAAGTCAATATTTTGTATTAGAAATGATGTACTGATATCATCAATGTTTCTTATGTTCTTTTTATTAAACATGTAGATTTTGCTGAAGTTAATGTCCAGTAAAGATACAGGAATTCATCGGAATCTTCTGCTGTCACAGGCTGTGAGTATCCATACTAAAGTCAAAATATCGGTCATTCTCGTATCTCATTATGTTTGGTGTATCTGTCATTCTCGTATCTTGTTTTGTTTGGTGTCTTGCATTATGACTCTAAGGTGACTGGAAAAGCTCATAGCCAATTTGGTTTTCAACATACAGTATTTAGAAACTCGTGGTGTTCTGAATGTGCTATTGTCGAGGATATCACTCCATTGAAACAGACATTTTACAGGAGCCTGAAATGCTTATGCTACATATTAATAAAACAGCTTTTTGTAAAAAGTAGCCTGTAAAGTTTATGCTTGATATCTAAACAACAGTTATTATTTTTTTTACAGGAGCCTGTAATGTTTAAGCTTCAGATCTATACAACAGCCAGCCATCAGCTGATCCAGTTGTACGAAAAACTTACAGAACATGTAAGTAATCTCCTGTTTAACTAAGATGATGGATGATCAGCTTGTGTATTGGTAGATTCCATTGTCTGTTTTTTTAGCTCTACTGGTCAGAGACCAGAAGAGCTTATGCGATAGTAATGTGTCCGTCGTCCGTCCGTCTGTCTGTCTGTAAACAATTTTTCAAAATGCTACTCCTCCTACAGTTTTGGTCTGAATTCAATATAACTTGGCACACAAGTAGACTACACTTAGATACATAATACTGTGCATAGGTTTTTATTTTGATGAGCGGCAAGGATCATTTTTCTTTTTATTGCTGTTTTAAATTTTCAAGTCCCAACTGCTACATTTCTATTCCTTTGTTTTAAGTATAAACCAGTAGAGCTACAGTATCGACAGAGACTTCTGGTTAATTTATGGGTGAACACAAATTGAGATTTGCTGCAGCTAGTACTCATGGAAAATACTGTGTTTGCAGACAAGCAGACATGCAGACAGACAGACAGATGGATGGACACAGCAAAAACTATATACCCCTGAATCTTCAATTATGGGGGTATAGAAATCTTAGGATTACATTATTGCCAATAAAACAAGAAGATGAGAAAAATAGTCTTTTAAGAACAATTTCTTCTCATAAATCTGCTTACCAATAGAGATACAGGATGTAAAAAAAAATATAAATGAAATTTCTCTAAATCAGTTTTAAAAAAGCAAATCTGAATTTTTTTTTCATCAAATCTACCCATGAGAGGAATTAAATATTTATCCATTATACTTTGAATCTAGAAACTGTTGAAATTATGGGATTGAATACAATGTATTCATCTCATGAAAAGAAACTGTTAAGACTATCCTCCTTTATTTTTCAGTACTACAGATCAGACACTGTTAGCATCTGTACCGTTGTTTTGTGTTTTGTTGTACTATGGGTTGGACACCGTTAGTATCTGTACTATTGATGGTACTGTGAGGGCTATCTCCTTTATTTTGTAGTAATATGGGTTAGACAGTGTCAGTATCTGTACTATCGATGGTACTGTGAAGACTATTCTTTATTTTGTAGTACTATGGGTCTGACACTGTTAGTATCTGTACTATTGATGGTACTGTGAAGACTATTCTTTATTTTGTAGTACTATGGGTCTGACACCATTAGTATCTGTACTATTGATGGTACTGTGAGGGCTATCTCCTTTATTTTGTAGTACTATGGGTTGGACAGTGTTAGTATCTGTACTATCGATGGTACTGTGCAGACTATTCTCCTTTATTTTTCAGTACTACGGATCTGACACTGTTAGTATCTGTACTATCGAACTTTTAGTATCTGTACTATTGTTTTGTGTTTTATTTTGCAGTACTATGGATCTGACACCGTTAGTATCTGTACAATCGATGGTTATGTGAAGACTATTCTCTATGTTGTAGTACTATGGATCAGACACTGTTAGTATCTGTAGTACCGGTATAGATGGTACTGTGAAAACGTTTTTCCTTTATTTTGTAGTACTATGGGTCTGACACTGTTAGTATCTGTACTATTGATGGTACTGTGAAGACTATCCTCCACAGAATCAGAGAGGACCTGCTCATCTACAGGAAGTGCTTCAGTGGCAGCCATCTTGTCACCTGGATAACACACCACCCAGAACTCTTCTATCAGTTTGGTAAATTTCTTTTTGGAAAATCTGTTGGCCACCTCAGACAACATGAACCAATAACACACTACGTTTAATACTAAAGGAATATAAAGTGATTACTTTAAATCAAACTTAGTGTATTGCTTGTCCCTGTGCCTCAGACACTTAGATAAGCTATTTCCTCCCATGTGTATCAGTCTGAATATCTGAACATTTTCAGTTTTTTCTCTAAACTAGCTGGACAATTTTCAATAAATTAATTTACACACATTGTCAAGGAAATGTCAAAATGTTTCCTGAGAAGAAACTTTTGCGTACTAACCTCATTTACAGAAAGATTTTTCTATGTGTCTTGATAGATCCTGATTTGGAGAATACAAGCAGCAGTAAAGAGAAGAGGTGGACCGCTATATCTATAGCCGAGTCACTCCTTAGGGCCGGAGTTATTGTAGATATGGACGCCAGTGATGAGACAGGTTAATGTAGATTTCATATACATGTTAAGAAGTAATCTGTTGTGTAATTTCATGAGAAGTAGCACTGGTGAAATAAAATTTCTTCCTTTCAATTTTAATGGTGCATAAATCAATATTAAGTCTTTTAGTCAAATGCCCACTTGTGTTCTTGGGAACTGCTGTCTAAGAGCCATTTTGATATTTTTAGTTCTCTTGTTAAATAAGAAATCTACAGTTGTGTAGTAGATTATGAGATCATGTAAGTGGCATTCTTTGTTCATTTAATGGCTCCATCTTTTAAGTGGCTCCATTTTTTAAACAGATTCTGAGGAAGAAGATGATTCTACTGATTTTCCAGAAATCAGCATTGCTGGTGGAAATGGAACGTCTTTTCCGTGTGATGGAAATTTTTCTGCTTATAACACCCCACGAGCAACACCTGTATCACATCCTGACCAAGATGAGCACCAAAAACAAATGTCCTCCAAGAAAAGATCTCACTACCTGAGTCTTCATTCTCATTTACGAGGAACGCCCATTCTTCAGCATTGCCCAAGGCCACAAGATCCCCATTCAAGCCCCATGATACATCACAGTTTACCAGTGAAACAATCTGAAACAGTCACACCTGTAGAGGAAAGCATCCAGTCTGAAAATGTGAGGTCCACTTTACATCAAAGCCACAGGGCACATGTTCTGAACTCTCCTGTAAAGTTAACCCAGTCTCTTAAAGGTCAGAGAAACCCAGTTCTTCCTGCTCCCCAAACATGCAAAGGTAGTGAATTGTTAAACAGCCAGAGAGAACAAACAGTGAGGGAATGTGATATTCAGGAAGATAGACCTTGTACATCTGGTGAAGCCAAAACTAATCCAGGATCCACACCAGAGACTCAGAATGTCCTGGATTACCGGGACATTAAGGGCTGGCATTTCCCTTACTGCGCTACACCAAATCTGAATGAGAGTGTGTTAAACAGTTCATTCCAAGACAGTGAATTCTTATTTGAGGACAGTCGCAGGAAGTATTATCGTATAGCGAGTTTTGCAGACAGTCTTAATCCGAACAGCTCCCCCAGCTCTGAGGAACTCAACAATCTAGTCGAGAAATGCTTCGAAACTAAGATTGCTCCTGATTTTGTGTTCCGTATTTTGTTGAGTAGGAGAAAATTTGAGGATGTTGCCCAGAATTATGTTGATAAACATACCCAAGGAGAGATGAGGGATTTGTCTTGTGAAGTCAGTTAAATATTTTCATGGATTGTCCTTTATCCCTGTGCAATATGTAAAAGTCTTTCATTATTGTTTTTTTACATGATTTACTTAAAATTAGTATATTTTATCCAGAATCATTCCGGTTTTTATATTCTGTAAGATACAATGACTGTATTCACTATTGCATGAATTTAGAATGCTTTCATTTCATGAACAAGTATAAAATAAGAGATATGGTTTATTTTGCTGAAGGCTCTATATGTCTGTAAAAACATGTAAAAAAAAAATTCAAAGAGAAAATCTTATCTTTATTACCAAACAAAAGATAGAAATGAATTTAAGTAATGAACTAGATGTTCTGTGATTTAAAGTAGTTTACATGCTTAACTCAAATCTGACAAAAACAGAACAAGAAGTTTCATTTTTAAGACATAATTAATAGGTTCACCAATTTTTAAGTTCTTTATATTTAAAATACATGTTTAGTACATGTACATTTTTTTTAAACAGAAGTAAAGTTTTTGCTAATGATGAAATTTTTTTTGTAAAAATGTACAGTGTATATTGTATGCAACATTTAAAAGGAGATATATCAGGTGCTTATTATTCCTTGAATACTTTATAACAATGCAGCTAAAAAACATGGACATTGTGCCCTCTTACTTGTTTGTATGATGTTTTCACAGGAAGATAGACTTGATTTTGATTAAGATAAATAATTTTGTTTAAGGTATGATAGCATCTATACTTTTATAATTGGTATGTGTAATGTTATATTTTTGATGATGTTTATGGTAAATGTGTTCATTTTCATAAGCTGTGATTATATTGCTTGTGATAATTACATATCATATCATTATATTTACATTTTCAATTTTTTTTTTTTTTTTTTTTTGCAAGATTCTTTACAAATTAGAAAACTGTGTTTTCTCTTGAACTTACATGGATGTTCATGAATATCTCCATTGGTATCTCCATACCCTAATTAATGCCAAAACAAACTTTTTTGTTTTAAAAATGATAGTTGAAGGGCATACCTTGAGGCAACTTATACATAATGTAAGATAATTTAATTTTTTGAAAATTCATGAGGTACATGGACTATAACCAAAGGTGGATCCAGGGCCAGTGCTCTCAACCCATTTGAGGCTTTAATAAAGCCCCAAGACCCCCTGCCTTCTAAACCACCCCACCCCCTACCCCCCATTATGAAATTCTTGATCCGCTTCTGATAACCCTTCATATTTATTGAATCATTAACATGCTTCAGAATTATGCCAAGTTTGAACATTGTAGTTCATACCCTAATGAATTTTCAAAAAATAATTCAAAAACATATACATGTGTACGTACATTCTTATGTCATTCAGACTACATCTACCAAATATTGTTACCTGCACATTTTCTTTTTAATTAAATGTTGTCAATCAGAAAAAAATTGTTTTGTTCCTGTTTCTTTCATTTTGACTGTCACTTCCATTTTGCAAAGGACATAAATGACAAACACACACACGACTGCATGACTTGACCCTTTCCACCTATGTTGAGAGTAGCTGGAGAACTGTATCTCCGCTAAAAAAAATTTTTTGACAGATCGGAGAGCTACAGTACCATCCAATAAAAAAACTGTATATTTATTGTGCACAAAAAATTGCAGTGTTTCTCGATTTATTTCTCCATGTTTTTGAACTGTTGTATCAAAATAGTAACCATTTTTTCCTAACATATTCTTTCACTGTTTCCACAACAAAACATTCTTTATAATTGTTGTTTATATCCCTCCCGGTCCTGAAATTGAGATTGTCAAAAATTTCGACTATTTACGAGGGCCGTTCAAAAATTACGCGGACTGTGCTATTATTTACTCTTACAGACGTCATATAGTTATAAAATTTCACAGAAATATGTATCTTAAAGATTCCAATAAATTTTGGGGTATTTAAAAAAAATTCTACTAAAATTATCGGTATGTTGATATCGTTGATTGCAGACAAAAAAATTTAAGCAAAAGCATGCGGATTCAAAAATTAACTCATTGATTTTCTAAAATTCGCGATATTTTTCAACAATTTTCTCAAATGTACCTTTAAATTGTTCTATTATTATGTATTTAGATTTCGGACGTAATATTTGAAGTACTAACAGAAATATAGTGATTTTTCTCTGATGCAATTCCCGTGAAAACGACTGTGAAAATGACGTCTCTTGAATTGACGGCGCACCACACTTGTGTTAAAATATGTGTAATGCTCGAGATATCGGCAACAAAGATCCAAAATATGCATAATAAAACATGTAGTAAACTACGCTACTCGTGAGATTCGCCCACAAATAGCAAATTGAAATTTTAGACAGTTAGACCTCTGTAAAAAGGCTATACGGGAAGACGGGAAGAAGATTATTTTCAAACTATATCTCATAAGTAGTTTTTGGATTTAAAGCAAAAAAAAAGAATATTCTTTACTTGTTTAATAGATTTTAAGCTTGACAAGAAATGGTGTTTTGATGTTTGATAAGTAACTCAAACTATACAGGTACTCAAGGGAAAATGTTGAGAAAATGAAAGCTCAATCACATATTTTTTATAATGCTTGTGACGTCGAAGATTTTGCTGCGGTGACTTAATGGTATGTCCTGAAAAATCACTCAAAATTAATACCAATTTACAACATTTTGATATGAAATTTTGAAGACCATATAAGTAAAGATTCTTTTATATTATTTGTGAAATTTTGCCCGATTATGTCGTCAAATATTACTTCTGTGCATCAAGTCCGCGTAATTTTTGAACGGCCCTCGTATACTGCTGTTTGGGTTTGCAAGATCATTAGGTCCAACGCACTTCGTGCATATGTCAACTACACGGGTAGTAAGGATTTTTTTTTCTTTCTTGCAATTGAGGTAAGAATTTGAAAGAATTAATCCAGAACTAAGCGCAACTTTTGTATGCATAAATAAACAGTTTTTACAATGGGTGGCACTGTAGCTCTCCGGTCTATCAATATGTTTTTTTTGAAAGCTACAGTTCTGCAGCTATGTTGAGAGGGGAAAAAAACAGGAAACTCCAAATTAATTTTTCTGTTCCAAAATACCTCACTTCTCACAATGTATAGTGATGTACTATATGTGTAGTAATAGATATTTATATTTGAATTCACCTCTTCTATGACTTTTATTTGGGCACTATAGATAAATCTGCATCAATTGGTCAGACAAACAAAACAAGAGGCCCAGGGGCTTACCTTTGATTAGGAAACTCAATTTAGTACTGAAAAGTTTAAATATAAAAGTGGTAGGGGAGGGGTGGGGGTATGATTTGAACAAATTGAATTTACACTTTAGAGATGCGTTTGAATTAATAGCCATTCTTTGTAACCACTTTAACTTCTTTGCCACACAAAGTCACCGATTTTGATGAAACTTTGCCCATTATAAGTACTTGACTCGAAAAACTCATTTCAAGTAAAATTTCAGAGAGTTTGGAGAAATTCTGAGACTCCTATAAAAGTTCAAGTCATAATAGAGATTGGCTCTTACTCTGTCACATATAGGCCTCACTGTTCTTAACATGAATTTTTTATCCATATATCCTTTAACTATGGGTCCCTGTTATCATATGGCCTCTCTATTCCCTGTGCTTTTAAATTTTTATGATGACCAATCATGGCACTGCTGTACTTGGGAAGATTTTTAAATATCTTCCCCATGTATTCCTATGTAAAACTTTAATCGCCAATTGTGGCCCCACCCTACCCCTGGGGGTCATGATTTGAACAAACTTCAATCTGCACTACCTTAAGATGCTTCCAAATAAATATGAGCAATTATGGCTTTGCTGTTCTTAAGGAAGGGGATTTTCTAAAGAATTTCCCTATGTATTCCTGTGTAAAGTATTTATCACCCACTGTGGCCCACCCTACCAAGGGGTCATGATTTGCATAAATTTGAATCTACCATACCTAAGGGTGCTTCTACATATATCAAAAGGACAAAATGAACATATTTATAATTTTAATACAAATGTACGAACATTATAATTACATACATAGCAACTTTCATAACAAGAGATCACGATTACACTGAAAATGACAAAGTTTGAGTCAAACATAACTTACGTGTATACTTATTTTCAGCATAGTAACATACAGTAACATATTGGTGCATTTGAAAGTCTTAGCTTAACAATTATCAATCAGTACTGTCTAACCATTCATTACATGTGCTGCGAGAGGAAAATTCCATGGTTAATAAACTGCAGTATGATATTTTAAAAACTTCATGGGAGATATCATACCCTGAAAAAAAAAATATAAACCTCCATGAAAATGAGATTTCACAGAATGAGGATTCATCCTTTTGGCTTAGATCATAAAAAAAGAGAAAAGACAATGTATAAAATGTTAAATTAATAGGTACTCATGCCATAATCTAAAGAATTAATGAGTATTTTCTCTTCTTCTCTCAAATGAAGTTTCCAAAATGTAGAATACCAATATTAGAATTGATCTGAATGTGGTAATTGAAACAGAGAAATGTGACAAATCTTGGTCTCTCCCAAACTAAATTTGTAATATAACTTTCTGTGTAGAAACTATCACCTATCTGAAATGAATATATTTCTATGCACACTGACAAGTGACAACCATGGATTGTCATGTTGTAATAGTAGATGCTTACATAAAGTCATACAACCATCATTGTACATGTACAATCACTACACTTCAAAGTTTACAAATCCAGAAGATTGCACACACATAAGTCAATAAAATTAACCCTTCAAGGTTTCAAGCAGATCTACATATTTGTTGAGTTTTTCTTTCACTTCAAAATGATCATGGAGTTCCACCATTCTTAGATTTCCTACACAGTAAATGTCTATAATTTTCATGTCACTAAAAGACTTCACCGAGTTCTTCAGAGAATCCAAGACAACACTCTCCTCTGTAAAAATAACAACAACTTTCTAACATGATCTTCAATACCAGGGTATTTATTTGGTAAAATATGACTGTTGCATACTGTTATGGAAACTATTCATTATATTTCTTGCATCCATAATTCTTTTCATTGCATATAAAATAGGCATTGAATAGATAGAGATACACAGTGGACCTTCAGATATCTGGATGCCTCAGTATCCGGACGATTTCTCATTTTTTTTCACCGATTTTTTTAAGGTTATTTTGTCTTGTTTAATTGGTAATTCAGGTTTCGCTTCACATATTCGGACAAATTGACTAGGAATCAAAGCGTCCAGATAAGTGAGTCTCCACTGTATACTGTCTAGCACAGGTTTTATTATCAAACAGGCACACAAATTTTAATAGCATTTATAATCTTACGAAATATTTTATTGTTCAAAATGAACATAAAAGAGCAAAACAGATTTTAAAAGCTTCTTTGCCATATATAACAATGAAGATACAAAATTATGTCAAATCATAATCATTATGTGCTGTTATTATTACACTATCAGCTCACAAGTAATCTTTGAAGTATCAACTTCCACTTCCATTAGGGAGTTTTGACAAAGACACAAATTACATTTTTTATGCCTGTGACCTTGAACTTGCCAGAATGAACCCAAGTCAAGATCATGACACAGTTGTGTGATGAATAAACTTTCAATATTTTTCCATTAAATATTGCTAAAGATTAAACATTTTTCTGTCAGCAACCATGAACTTAACAAAATGAACTTTGTGACATTGAAATCAAGAGATTCTCAAAATAACTAGTCTTCTTTTTTTCATAATCTGCATGCTTACCATTTGATGCCAGTTTTTCATGAACCCTCCTTTTAGCTTCTGAATGAATAAGGTGGATAAATTCACTCTCTGAAAACATCAGATAACCAATTAAGTTTAATTGCTTATAATTATATAATAATAATTTGATTATTTTCATTACTTGAATAAGAGTATTCTAACCCAGAAACTGTGTGTGGAGACATTTGCTGATTTGACAGGCTGTCACGTAATAAGACTCTAGGAATGGAGCCAGTATCTGGTGGTAAAACTTCAGCTTCTCCATACAATCCGCTCTGTTGGTGTTAACCTATAAATAAAATCAAAAAATTATCAAGGACTTTCTTGTAATCATAAAAATAGTCATTAAAAGTGATTAAGTATTATCTAGTCATTCTATCTATACATAAGCCTAGTGATATAACCCTTGTCTTATGTTAATCTGATATTAGCCATTGTCTAAAATGAAAGATCCCTAAAGGAAGTTAGGGAAACATTCATAAGAGCCTGCATGTGGAAAAGTTACTTGTCTGACAATAACATACAAATTGAAAGAAAAAACCTTTTAAAAAATCACTGAAAACAAAGGTCAAACACTAATATACAGTGGAGCCTCATTTATCTGGACATTTTTGTTCCCAGTCAATTTGTCTGCATAAGTGAAGCGTCCAGATACCTGAATTACCAGTTAAAAAAGAAAAAATATCGTTAAAAAATTCCGTTCTGATGAAAAATCGTCCGGATACTGAAGCATCTGGATATCTGGCGTCCGCATATCTGAAGGTCAACTGTATAGAAATAATTTGTGGTGAATCTTAATTGAGAAAGTGTAAAATTGCTAGCTCTATCTCACTTGACAGGTGTGCTGGGAAAGTGTAAAATTGTTAACTCTATCTCACCTGACAGGTGTGCTGGGAAAGTGTAAAATTGTTAACTCTATCTCACCTGACAGGTGTGCTGGGAAAGTGTAAAATTGTTAACTCTCTCTCACCTGACAGGTGTGCTGGGAAAGTGTAAAATTGTTAACTCTCTCTCACCTGACAGGTGTGCTGGGAAAGTGTAAAACTGTTAACTCTATCTCACCTGACAGGTGTGCTGGGAAAGTGTAAAATTGTTAACTCTCTCTCACCTGACAGGTGTGCTGGGAAAGTGTAAAATTGTTAACTCTCTCTCACCTGACAGGTGTGCTGGGAAAGTGTAACACTGTTAACTCTATCTCACCTGACAGGTGTGCTGGGAAAGTGTAAAACTGTTAACTCTATCTCACCTGAGAGGTGTGCTGGGAAAGTGTAAAATTGTTAACTCTCTCTCACCTGACAGGTGTGCTGGGAAAGTGTAAAATTGTTAACTCTATCTCACCTGACAGGTGTGCTGGGAAAGTGTAAAACTGTTAACTCTCTCTCACCTGACAGGTGTGCTGGGAAAGTGTAAAATTGTTAACTTTCTCTCACCTGACATGTGTGCTTGGAAAGTGTAACACTGTTAACTCTATCTCACCTGACAGGTGTGCTGGGAAAGTGTAAAATTGTTAACTCTATCTCACCTGAGAGGTGTGCTGGGAAAGTGTAAAATTGTTAACTCTCTCTCACCTGACAGGTGTGCTGGGAAAGTGTAAAATTGTTAACTCTATCTCACTTGACAGGTGTGCTGGGAAAGTGTAAAATTGTTAACTCTCTCTCACCTGACAGGTGTGCTGGGAAAGTGTAAAATTGTTCACTCTATCTCACCTGACATGTGTGCTGGGAAAGTGTAACACTGTTAACTCTATCTCACCTGACAGGTGTGCTGGGAAAGTGTAAAACTGTTAACTCTATCTCACCTGACAGGTGTGCTGGGAAAGTGTAAAATTGTTCACTCTATCTCACCTGACAGGTGTGCTGGGAAAGTGTAACACTGTTAACTCTATCTCACCTGACAGGTGTGCTGGGAAAGTGTAAAACTGTTAACTCTATCTCACCTGACAGGTGTGCTGGGAAAGTGTAAAATTGCTAGCTCTATCTCACCTGACATGTGTGCTGGGAAAGTGTAAAATTGTTAACTCTATCTCACCTGACAGGTGTGCTGGGAAAGTGTAAAATTCCTAGTTCTATCTCACCTGACAGGTCTGCTGGAAGATAAAGTTTTCCTCGTCATCTTCTTCTTCATCCCTCCAGGCCATATTTTTGGACAGTCTCTGGGCCCAGCCTTTCTCATACATACTGTACTGGTCATCACACTGACCAAAAGATAAACATATATACTGTACTGGTCATCAAGTCAATTACACCACCTAAATGTGTCTTCACATTACAATTTGATATTGATTTATGCACATTATAGCAGCTATAATCACAGTATTTTTAAAGAAAAAGATTAGAAAAATTTGCTTCAATTTTATTTTTACTAATAGTAAAGATATTACATGTAATAAGTAAAACAGCACTCACCAGCATTTCTTTGACTTGAACAACTTCCATGCTTATCATCTGATCAAGTTCATCTTCAAGGGCCTCCTCTAATTGTTTGCATGGCTGAAATAAACCCAAACATTTAATTTATCCTTTTGAGTAGAAGAGTGGTCTCCCCCCAAATTTGCAGCAATATCCTTGTATCAGTATCCTTAAGTACTAATGCACAATGATGGACATATTCCAATTTGAAAAAATAGTATATTTTATATCAAGTAAACTTTTAATTATATTAATTCACTTACCGAGACAAATATGAACTCGTATTGAAGAAGTTGACAAATTTCTACAGCGACTTCTATGACCTCCTCTCTGGTGGCTGAGGAGGTCACATGACCAGCAGTGTTGTCAAGGGATACATCACAACAATAAATAATGGCACAGGAGATCACACTCTCCAGTAAAAAGACTGACAATACAGCGTTACTATAGTAACTCAGCTCCACAAGGGCAGATAATTCACTACTGGCTTTGTAAAATTCTACATTAGAATCGGGTTCCATTGTTCTGAAAATACAGTCAATTTTTAAGTCATGATCCAAAACAAACTTCCCAAAAAAAATTAACAAGAACTAAAAGTTGGGATATTTTTTTCAGTTTTATTTGAAAGCCTATGTTATTGACAGACCTTGTAACTAGATGATTCCCCAATAGGAGGCTAGCGGACTGAACGACAGCCTCAGACTCCCCAGTAAAGCCTACATCTCTCTGACGAACCTTCAGTTCAGAAACCAACCACTCCAAATCTAATGCTAGCTGACTTTTCTGCACTCCCTGCAAACACAAATAAGAATGCTCTAAAAATAGTCTGTGGAGCAAATGACAGATTTTTTTAAATTCTACATTATAATGACTTTTTTGATAAGTCATTGTACCTGTCTGTGTTTCTTTAACAACAGGAATGCCAGGAGATTGGTACTCATCAGCGCTGTGCTATTTGTGCTTGCTGCAATTGAATAAGATGTCTCTTATTAATAAATGTGAGAAATTGGAAAATTCCTGTAAATCATTATTTCACTTATCACAAAAAAATACATTCCAACTTCTAGAACACAAGTTCTTTTTATAACAAAATACAGAATTTCAGTCCGTTCTTTGATGGATGAGCCAGACTTACTGTAGGTGATATGCTCTGCGAGGTCCTGTACAATCTGTCTGTTGTCGTTTCCGATGTCAGATCCGTACAGTGAGGAGACACTGCCCTGTCTACGGATCACCGGCGATGGCGACAGGTCCGAGTCCGCAGACAGCTCCCCCTCCGAGTTAGGCTCACTCCCCTGAACACTAGATTGGCAAGACTGAGTATTTTGCAGGTATTCCTGTACAAAAAAGAGCAAAATGTTATTTATTAAAAAAACAACATGTCCTTTAGACTACAGACCCATGGGCCACAACTCTCATCTGAGTCAATGTTTTTCTGAAAAATTCTAGACTCAATTGTATGAGCAGTTTCTGAGAACATTGATGGATAACAGAGTACCATTGGAGAATGAAGAAAATAAAGTGCATTCCAAAACATGTGATACACTTGCCAAATATAGTTCAATTATCAGAAACAAATGAGTGTGCATTATAAAGCACTTCAAATGGTCCTGTACCTTACAGTGTGAAAGATAGCACATACTGGTATACATACATATTCATATGCTAACAAATGGATTGAAGGACAAGAGAGTCTATAATCCACAGTATGACACATCAAAAAATACAAATTTGCTTACCTTGAGAGAAAGAGGCTTGCAGAAATCGACACGAACACTTCCATATTGTGTTCTGCATACCTTCAGTAAAGCTCTTACAGCTCCTAAAAAGGTTTCTGGCTTCTTAGCCAGACCCTAGGAAAAAAATCTCCATTTTTAAATATAATGGCATCAAATCAAATAAATATACTGTACTATGTAAGCTCACTTAACACATGTAATTATAGTTTAAAGTTCTCATCTGTATTGATATTATGTAATCAGTGGATCAAAAAAAGGATACCCGGTACTTACCAACTGCTCTGTACTAAAATTTCCATCCATCAACTTCTCGTAATTGATACTAACAGGAACAATGTACACATCCTCTACATGGCCTGCCACACAAAGATAAATTTAGTTACAAATTTTTAAATAAATCAAACATTATATATGGATTCTTAGAAATTGTTACATCACTCCTACCACTGGAAAGTGTTCCTTGTATCACAGACAGGAGGCCACCTTTGGGGGGATAAGATTTTCCAGATCGACTTCGACCTCCCTCCAAGAAAAATTCCATACTCTGTCCATTCCTCAACAATTCTTCAATATACTGCAAATTCAGTACAACAACAAATTGTATAAATTAAAACAAAATACAGTGTACCAATTCATATATAGAATACAATTTGTTTGTATTGAATGACCAGAAACTTACAATGTGCAGAATAGACCTGTAGAGCATGTCTTTCTTCCCATTGCTTTTATCAAGTTTTCTACGAATAAAAAATCCTCCTAGACTCTTCATAAATGGTCTGCAAAAAGAAAACTTAATTCATTATATATTTTTTTCAAAGAGCATAAATATATGTGAAACCTGGAATTTCTATGGGAAACATAAAGGCCCATTGGCCACAATGCTAACCTGTGTAATCTCATTCCTGCTGTTCTTCAGAGGATTTCACCCACTCTTAATTCCCATGAATATTTTTACCCCATCTACGGTCCCTCTATCCCATAGGATCACCTTTGGTCCCCTATTTTGGCCACATCCTACCCCCCAGAAATATGATTTGAACTATTTACAATCTATACTACCTCAAGAATCTTTCACTTATGTTTCAGCTTTTCTAATCCAGCATTCTTAAGGAGAAGATTTTTGAAGATTTTACATACACATTTCAATGTTAAATTTTTATCCCCTACTGTGGCCCCTTTGGGCCAGTGGTTTCAACAATTTTGAATCTTCACTACCTTAGAAAGCTTCCATCTTCATTTCAGTTTTTTTTTTAGCCTCATGGTTCTTGAGAAGAAGATTTGTTTTAATAGTCCAATCATATTTTTCCCTTTTCTAGGTTATCTCCCATTGGAAGGTTTTTACCTTTTAATTTCTTAATTAAGAATCCCCTTTACGCAAGGATACTTTGTACCAAACTGTCAAAATTGTGCCAGTGGTTGTTGAAGAAAAAGCTGAAAATGTGAAAAGTTGACAGACAGACAGACACTGTGCAATAGATGATCAAGAAAAAAACTCTTCTGAGTTTTAGCTCGGGTGAGCTGAAAAAACTGATGAAATCAACATAAATATTTTTCCATGATGTTGATTTGTTGACATTCCCCTCACCCAAAGATAGGAATGTTGAGGTTAATTCCAGCTGCCACATAGGGACTCTGAATCTTGTAATGCCAGAAGATGAAAGTCATCAGGACATAATCCAGGTGACTGCGGTGAAGTGGTAGATAGATCATAGGGACACCTCTCTGTAAGATAGCAAATTTGTACAATGATCAATTCATTCTGCCTCATGTAAAACACTGAAAACAAACCAATAACTAATGGATGTACAACACAGTTAGAAATTTTCATTCAAAATTTATCAATACAACAAATTAAAAAAAAAAAAGATACTGAGGCTTCAAAATTATGAACAATAATTACAAGAGGCCCAAGGGCCACAATGCTCTTCTGACTTTTCATATTGTAGTAATTTACTATTGTAACCTTTATTTCTTTTATGCTTACCTCTGAAGCTTTTTTCACAACATCTATTTGTCCTTTGTGAACCAATATTGCACGTAAAATAGAGGGGAAAACCTTTGTCAGAATCCAAGCCACAATCCTGGGAAGGAAAATTTAATATATCAATTTAAATCAAATTCTAGCACTGAAAAGCAGGTGACTCTTATTGACACTTATTATACATTTAATATGTATAAATAGTCATGAACTAAATACTATAAATCTGTGAAAAATATGCTCCTTCAACTACAAATATAAGTAATTTCAGTTCAGTGTGAAGTTTTGCATTACATCACAATCTTTTTAGACAGACGCATCCAGCGTAAACAATCCACGCCCCCGCTGTGTGATTGGTCAACTCATATTATCAACATTGACACGGAAATAGTCTGTTGCACGTGCAACCAATCAGGATTTGAAGAAACTTCCAGTCATAAAGCTTGTGGTTAGGAGGCGTGTACAATTTACCTTGAGTGCAGCCGTCATCATAGGTTGTGACGTAATGCAAAACTTTATACTTAACGAGGCCTAGTCTAATTCGAGTGCGCATAACTATGCAGCTTTTAATTTTCAAGGAGTCATAAGTACGACAGGACACCTTTCCAAATTATTGTGATTTTAATATAAAATTAACATTATCTGTAACGCCTACTTGTCTTTAATTGTGATTTTATGACAATTATTAGGAAATAACACTGAAATGGGTCTAACGACGTCACTGTTTTCCAATTTTGTAAGCAATGCATGATGTTGAAGAATGACACGACTCCCTTATATGTTTGTAGACGTTCATGGATATTATACAATGTACTAAAAACTGATGACAGAACATCAAAAGAAACATACTAGCAATCTAATATTGCTTTTTTCTAACCAAAAAAATTATCTGTGCCGATAATTCATCTGCACCGATATGTATTTATACCGTATTAAATATGGCAATTTTAGATCTAGAGGTATCATTCATCGAAAAAATAAACTTTGTAATTAGGACCTAGATCAACCTACAATGTAGATGGTAAATTTTTTGAAATTTCACAATTTGGTGACTTTTTGCAACAACTTTCAAATAGTTGACTGAAAAAAGAAATCCCAAGGGCAGAAATACACAAAATATGGAAAAAATTTGATAATTTGGCACTATTCCAACAAATTCCCATAAGGCCCAATAGTAAAATTTGACAAGTTTTGAGATGGCCCCCTAAGAAATCGGGGTGGTAAACATTCGATCTTTTAATCTTAAAACAATAAATATAACAGTAAAAAATAAACTGACGAAAAATTATCAAAATCCCTAAGGTAGAAATAATTAGACTTGGCCTCGTTAACTGAAATTACTAACACATGTACGAAATTTCATCTGGTTAACTTTATATATAATGAACCATTTTTTAAGTACATGTATTACCCTGCTAATTTTCCTGTAATGGTGGATTTCATCACATCAAAGATCCTTTGTGCTCTCTTCTCTGAACTTATTCTTTTTTTATCATCTATATCAAAACAATGAAAAAGATACTGTTAAAAATATTAGTTCTATTTATGACAGTTGAAAATGTTAAAAACAGATAGCAAAGCTTTTAAGCTTAAACAAGAGGCCCAGGGGCCACAGCGCTCACCTGAGCACATCAGCTAGGAAAAAACACATATCAGATCAGAACTGAAAGTATATACTTAAAAGTTGGTCGGCCATTTTGGGGGGGAACAAACTTACTGAGGATAATTTCACATGAGTTTCATTTATCCTGGCTTTGAAGTACTTGAAAAGAAGATTTAAAAAGGTTTCCCTATATATTTCTATGTAAAACTTTGGTCGGCCATTTTGGCCACACCCTTACCCCGTGGTCATGTCTTGAACAAACTTGAATCTACACTACCTGAGGATAATTTCACATGAGTTTCATTTTTCCTGTTTCAATGGTTCTTGAGAAGAAGATTTTTTAAGATTTTTCCTATATATTCCTATGTAAAACTTTGACCGGCCATTTTTGGCCCCGCCCTACCCCCGGGCGTCATGACTTGAACAAACTTAAATCTACATTACCTGAGGATGATTCCACATGAGTTTCATCTTTCCTGGCCCAGTAGTTCTTGATAAGAAGATTTTTAAAGATTTTGCCTATATATTCCTATGTAAAACTTTGATCGGCCATTTTGGCCCCGCCCTACCCCCCGGGGGTCATGACTTGAACAAATTTGAATCTACACTACCTGAGTATGATTCCACATGAGTTTCATCTTTCCTGTTCCAGTGGTTCTTGAGAAGAAGATTTTTAAAGATTTTTCCTATATATTCCTATGTAAAACTTTGATCAGCCATTTTGGCCCCGCCCTACCCCCGGGGGTCATGACTTGAACAAAATTAAATCTACATTACCTGAGGATGATTCCACATGAGTTTCATCTTTCCTGGCCCAGTGGTTCTTGAGAAGAAGATTTTTTAAAAATGCCAATAATTTTTCTCTAATTCATGATTATCTCCCCTTGGAAAAGGGTGTGGCCCTTCTTTTGAACAAACTTGAATACCCTTTACCCAAGGATACTTTGTGCCAAGTTTGGTTGAAATTGGCCCAGTGGTTCTTGAGAAGAAGATGAAAATGTGAAAAGTTAACGATGACGACGACAACGACAACGACAACAACAACAACGACGACAGACGATGGACAAATTTTGATCAGAAAAGCTCACTTGAGCCTTCGGCTCAGGTGAGCTAAAAACTCAAAATTCAAAACCTGTAATTTCAGCATCTTCCTGGATAATTGCCTCCTTTACCCTGTAAGAAAAGATATGTAGAGATTTATAACAAAAATATTTTACATTATTATATTATAACAACTGAATTTTCAATTAAGGGGTTTACAGTTGTGAATGCATTAAAAATGAAGTGTAGTATACAATATAATTATATGATCAATCACTTCATCGTGCCTAAAAGATCTATTAGAGCAAGTTAGTACAGGTACAGGTCAATTAAATGAACTAATTAAAACCCATAAGTAGTATGCCTATTATACAAAGCCTTATTAGGCTCAGATAGACAAACAAAATATACATGTTCAACATTCTCATCTCAATCAATTTGATACAGATGTAAGAAACCTTATGTACCTATCAGGCTGTATATATGCCATTCATGCCTTGTGGTCCTTTATTTAGTATGTCTTAGATTATATTAGAATTTTTGAAAAAAATGAAAGTTTGACACAAGCAAAATTAAACTGATCAGCCCACAGCTTTTTTTTTCCAGAAAACCTGTTTTCTACAATTTATAAACAGGTGTATAAAATTTCTCAAAAGGGCAGAGTTGTATTATTTACCAAACAAGAGGCCCATGGGCCACGTCGCTCACCTGAAAAGCGTTGACCATTCCGTTCTTTACCAGATTTCCCCCTTGTTATACTTAATGCATCCCCACCCTACCCCACTGATCATAATTAAGACATTTTGAAATCTACACTACCCCATGACCCTTCCATGGGCACATATGTTCGGCTTTTTTGGCGCAGTGGTTCCAGAGAAGAATTTTCAAAGATTTTTCCTATATATTTCTATGTAAAACTTTGATTCCCTATAATGGCCCCGCCCTTCCCCCGGGGGTCATGATTCCTACAATTTACAATTTACACTACCCCAAAATGCTTCCACATAAGTTTCAGCTTTTCTGGCCCAGTGGTTCTTGAGAAGAAGATTTTCAAAGATTTTTCCTATATATTTCTATGTAAAACTTTGATACCCCATTGTGGCCGCGCCCTTCCCCCGGGGGTCATATTATTTGAACAATTTAGAATCTACACTATACCAGGATGCTTCCACATAAGTTTCAGCTTTTCTGGCCCAGTGGTTCTTGAGAAAAAGATTTTCAAAGATTTTTCCTATATATTTCTATCTAAAACTTTGATTCCCCATTGTGGCCCCGCCCTTCCCCTGGGGGTCATTATTTGAACAATTTAGAATCTACACTATACCAGGATGCTTCCACATAAGTTTCAGCTTTTCTGGCCCAGTGGTTCTTGAGAAGAAGATTTCCAAAGATTTTTCCTATATATTTCTATGTAAAACTTTGATTCCCCATTGTGGCCTCGCCCTTACCCCGGGGGTCATGATGTGAACAATTTAGAATCTACACTATACCAGGATGCTTCCACATAAGTTTCAGCTTTTCTGGCCCAGTAGTTCTTGAGAAGAAGATTTTCAAAGATTTTTCCTATATATTTCTATATAAAACTTTGATTCCCTATTGTGGCCCTGCCCTTCCCCCGGGGGTCAGGATTTGAAGAATTTAGAATCTACACTACCCAAAGATGCTTCCACATAAGTTTCAGCTTTACTGGCCCTTTGGTTCTTGAGAAGAAGATTTTTTAATGACCCAACCCTATTTTTGCCTTTTCTTGATTATCTCCCCTTGCGAGGGGATATGTCCCTTCATTTTAACAATTTAAATTCCCCTTCACCCAAGGATGCTTTGTACCAAGTTTGGTCAAAATTGGCCCAGTGGTTCTTGAGAAGAAGTCGAAAATGTGAAAAGTTTACAGACGGACAGACGGACAGACAGACGGACGGACGACGGACAAAATGTGATCAGAAAAGCTCACTTGAGCCTTCGGCTCAGGTGAGCTAAAAAGTGACCATTCTTACCTGGGATGGGTTAGGACAGATGAACTGACATCTGGGTAAACATATTTTGTCCGCCTTCTCACAGCGTACACAATGTTAGCAAAATATTTCTCTTTCCAATTTCTTCCCCTACAATTGCCAAAAAGTGTTACAAGGAATAATTATGTGTTGCCTGCAAGAGGAACATTAAGAATAGGAATGTTTTTCATTTAGTGAAATCTTCATTATTTTGCAAAGAATAAAAATAGTTTAAAATCTGATTTTCCCCATGACCCGTACATAAAATGTAATTGAAAAAAGATAAATCAGAAGGGAAGGTGTTCAGCATGTTCATTTTTAATAAATATGCTGAAAAATCCAATCTTTTCCTATGAACATCTCCTTGTTCAAGTCTCTGTTATGACTTTATAGCTCTACTGGTTTGTATAATAAAACAATGATCCTTGATTTAGTCTCTTTTCATGGAAAGACTGCAATCAGACTAAAACTGTAGGAGGAGTAGCCTTTTATAAGAATTTTACAGAAATTTCTATTTTTCATAACCATGGCATACCTTTCATAGAAATCAAAAACAAATAAATAGAATTATTTAACTTGCTGTTGTCTTATTGTGTGCAATGTTAAATTGTAATATCCAAGATGAATGGAGAGCTAAACAAACAGCTACACAGATAGATGGAATTGCAGTATTGTGTAATGTATCTTTATATTATCGTTTTACAAACACCGTGACAGTTTACTTGATAGGGCGTGCTAAAATTCAATAGGCTGATGATCATTTTACTCATCGATTGGATGTTTGATTTCAATGGAATCTATAATACTTTGCATATGAAACACAGAACCCAGTAATACCACTGACAATACTGACCAGTCGCATTGAATGAGTATGTAGTAAACAACAATTACATGTGGACGGACAAAGCAAGTTTTCCAATCTATGATGATGATATTGATAGCTACATAGTACAACACAAGCAGGGTAGCCTTAATAATTCTATTCTTTAAATTCTCTTATACGTATATAAAACCCCATCCTGTCAAATCACAACAAATATAATACGTTTTTTCCATGACAGGAAACGGGCTTTAACAGACCACGTGTTGCAGGTAAGTACAAATGCCGCACTGCTAAACAATCATTCATTCTGACTGGCCAGTATTATCAAGGTATTGTATTCTGAGCTTCATATGCAAATTAGTACTGATTCCATTGAAATCAAACATGCAATCGATGAGCAAAATGATAATCAGCACACAAAATTTTAGCACGCCCTATCAAGCAAACGGTCACGCTGTTAGTAAAATGATAATATATGATCCTCTGCTTAGAAGTTTGTGAATTTTGGTAGCTTTGGTTCATCAAATGGACAGAGCATATTCATCTACATCCTAAGCTTATCATTCAACTAAATAAAAAAAAAAATCCTTATTACCATAACTTAAAATTTAAAACATTTCTGACCAGATATAAAACACTGAATTTTACCTCATTTCTAAATCCAGAATATTTCTAAATCCCATTTTTACAGCCTCTACTGTACTGAAATCTACCTGTAAAAAAAAAGACAGAGCATCATGTAAAAAATTCAACATGTCAATGAGACTGCCATTAAAAATTTATAAATATTTCAAGATGGAGAAGATATACATGTATATCTAAATGTTTAAGATCTTCCCTAAAGACTTATAAATGATATCATCTTTTCTAAAATTTATTTTCAAAAGAGGAAAAGTGAAGATGCATTTTGTTCTGACCTGACTGTTGGGCATACAGGAGCAGACATTTCCCATGTAAGGCCGGGTGACAAGCAGGGTTTCTGCTGTGATCAGGGGTTTACTCTTAAACTCAGCAATTGCATTGTTGGTCACCTTCAAAACAAACAGTTATCCTGTATTGAAGAATAAAAGGGCAAGTTTTTTTTCAGTAAATTGAAATCATTAAAAATAAAGTAAGCAAAATAAACAGAACACATTATGATTACCAGGTACTGTGGTTTCATTAATATTTGTTGAGGACCAATTTTCAAGGATTTCATTGTTAAGCAGATTCACGAATTTAAATGTTCATTGAATTAAGAAATTATAATGTCATTCATTTGTAAAGTCAATGCTTTTGTCCACGAAATTACGTATCCTCGAAAAAGTCTGTTTTACAAAATCCACGAAAATTAATCCCAATGAAATTTAATGAAACCACAGTATATGATGTTTAAGTCTTAAAACACAGGATTTCCTCGGGTTAGAATATGGGTATTTAATTCTTAAACATGATATATTTTTGGTCGAGACAGAAGTAAACATGCTGGTTAGTTTAGATTTTCTACACTAACCTCCTCTGTAGCTAGAGCTGCTGGTCTCCTGTTTCGCTGTCTAGCTCGCCTGTGACTGGCTGGCTGGATACTATCTCCATAACGCTCCCTCCACTTGGCTCTTCCCTCCTGTGTTATTTTATCAGCCAGCTGCCCAACCTGGTCCCATTTAATCTTATTCTCAGATCTTGCATCTCCTTCCCTCATTCTTGGACCATGCCCCTCCCACTTTGCAAACACTGCCTGCATATTTGGGGTGAGGGGATCTTTTGCATTAGGGGACGTCATGGTTCTATCAGCCCCTCTTCACCTGTAGAATAAATGCTCCGATCTGCAACAAATTAACCATGCTGCAGCAAAGTACTCTTTGTTCTAATATAATAGTCAACCAAGAACCGTCACAAATGAATCATAACATTGGATGTACCTAAAACAGTACTGGGCCTATCACAACTGTCCAGATTTAGTATTATCAGTATATGATAACCTTGATAAACTGATACCATATCTCTCACACAGAACACTGATCCCTTAGGTTAATTACAGGAACACAATGAACATTAGGCCTGCAAACTCAATTATGAGAAAAAAAAAATGAAAACTTAAAATTACTCTTAGCTGTCAGACAGGGGTCTTCCTGCTATAACCAGTTTCTGACATATATACTGATAGCAGCCTGGGGTGTTAAAACAATACGCAACATATCACACTATTATAAAATGCCCTCTAATCTGTAGTCAACTTACAATATCTGCAGGTGCTATGGCTGAAAAAAGGATTGAAAAATTAATGTTTTTTCCCATACTAGTCTAAAGTGGTTAAGCTATGCGTTCTTGATGTAAATCTTGGATTTTTCATTAATTGTTTTAAGTTTGTATTTCTATTATCAAATGTGTATTTTTGAAAAAATGTAAATAATTTTCAAGAGGTGTTATCTTTTTTTTAAAAATATAATACTAGAAATTTAATTAGTTTTTAATTTACCATTGAAGTGTTTTAACAGATAAATGCTATTTTCATCTTCACATTTTATTTTCCAGCAACAAATACATATTCTTAAAAAAATTATAATGATATTTCTATATTTTACATTTGTTCATACAATAAAATTGCATAACATCTTGTCAACAGTTCGATTAGTTAGAATGTTCTATGGTTAAAATGATAAATGTCCTACGGACCCAGTTTTGTGATGAGGGCTTGTCCCAAGACACAGTTAGATTATTCTAACTACAGTTCGATCAGTAGGGCCTTAAGGCCCCTATCCATTTGCAAACCTAGCATCATATATCTAATTTTGTGTTACTTGTTACTGCATCAATTCAAACCCATTATTCCTTTCTGTATGTCTGTCTGGGTCAGTTGTAGATAACCTAAGACTATTACAGATTTAACAGTTTATTATGTCAACAACTGAACAAGGACGACCTTGACTTTCACCGTGAACTTTTCCCATCAGGTCAATAACCTTGTTCTTCACATCATGAAGGCAAGCATGGGTGTGTAAAACAAGAGAATGTCCAAATATTTAATTACGTTTATGGATGTTCAAAGTTTTTTGCTGTCAAAATGGTTATTCCTGGATGATGTCATACATCATTATTATTACATGCACTAGGCCTTGCGACAACGCACGGATGCTTTCCCAAGCTTGCAGAAGTTGCTGGAGTATTATTTGTAAAAAATAGAGAATTATTTAGCATTTCGAAATAGCAATAGTATACGTAAAAAGGATCTCACCTCAAACAGTCATCCTTATCCATTATCTGTTATTGGCTCATTGTCCTCAAACCCAGCCGTCAGCCGGCATTTGGAGTTGTTTATGTTTCAACTTTTATCGACACGTGCGTGTGCACATATTAGTTCGTACCAAGTTGATTTGTAGTCAAAAAACCAAGTCGGCGTTTTTCTGGTCCAGTTATCTAGTATTTTTTTAATATATGAAATCATGTTTAATAAAAAGTGTATTGTGAGATGGTGAAATTTATAGGCATCTATGACATGATGCAAATGATATCTGGGAACAGCAGACCCATAGCATGCATAGCGAGCATACTTTACTTATGATTTTTAAAAGACACCCCATTTTTCCCGTACATGTACGTCTTCTGTATGTAAAATGTTTGAAGTTTAGTGACAATGCATCAGTTTCTTTTTAGACAAGAAAAGACTTTTTGATTTAGGCTACTCGGCCGAGCAAAATGCAGGAAAACATAAATCATTGGCGTCGTAAGCAAATTGAGTAATGGGGGGGGGGGGGGGGTTAATCGAAAGGAAAAAATTCAAACCTCAAAAAAATCTGACAAAAAAGGGAGATAGTAAATTGTCCAAACCAGGAAATCCAGTTGGGGGTCAAAATTTTTACATGAATCCACACATAACTTTTCTGACCGCGTTATTTATATACAAGAGGCCCACGGGCCTTATAGGTCACCTGAGCATCATGCAACAACTTTCAAATAATTGAATTTGTTTCATGTTTTAAGCTAGATGCTAAGGCATTCACAATTTTGGAAGAAGCACTCTTGCTCAACATAACTATGTACTTAGTTGGTTTATTTAAAACCTAGGAGCAGAGAAAAAGATTTTCAAAGATTTAATGCATTTTCACTATATAATCAATAGAGCCCCGCCCTAACACCAGAACCCCTGACCCTGGGGCCATAAAATTCAAATTTTGGTAGAGGCACTCTTGCTTATTATAACTATGCACTTAGTTAGTTTATTTAAAACCTAGGAGCAGAGAAGATTTTCAAAGATTTAATGCATTTTCACTATATAATCAATAGAGCCCCGCCCTAACACCAGAACCCAGTGCTCCAAGTTGCGACTAAAATGGTCGCATTTGCGACCAAAAAAATTGATTTTGCGACTAGAAATGAAAACACACTCGCATTTTCGCGACTGAGAAAATTTGGGCTGGAAACGTCCAATTTTTAAGATCGGGATCGAGATTCCATTTGTAAAGATTCTCTATCAAGAAAATGTTTGAAGACATATACTTAAATACACTTTACAAAGCGTTGCATGGACTTTGATCACGTAATGTTATGACAGCATGCCATGCTGTACAAAGTTAGATAGAACCTGAACCAGAGACGTGGACAAATAATGTTCCTGATAGAATGGCATCCAAACTTCGTACACTTTTTAAGATCCGACCTTGTTATTGAAGCATTTGATCAATTGCTTGCATATCACAATGAATCATGATTGTATTATCATGCTAATGGTGTTTTGGCGGCATTTATAATGACTGTGTATGGGTTAGGTATACATAGTAGTAAATAAACATGACAAACAGCAGCCAAAGTCCTGTCTCAACACCTGTCAAGCTTGTATTTTCATTTGATAAAATTTTATTTCTGTAATCAGATTACTTGCGTTCTTCTGTACAACCATAAGGGTACATGTATTCAATAAAAGTATTTCATTCAACCTAGCTAGCAAATTTTTACAGTCACAGTAATAAGTAATCTATGATATAATACAGACATAATACATATCCTTATTTAAATTATCAAGTTTTATTCACAAAATGTATTTTTTTATGGCGAGTGAAATATTTGATTATGGCGACCAGAAATTCTGAAATGGCGACCAAAAAAATTTTTAGGTCGCCATTTTGCGACCTGAGAGCAAGTGTGACTTGGAGCACTGGAACCCCTGACCCTGGGGCCATGAATTTCACAATTTTGGTGGAGGCACTCTTGCTCATCATAATTATTTACTGAATTAGTGTATTTAATACCTAGGAGCAGAGAAGAAGATTTTCAAAGATTTAATGCATTTTCATTATATAATCAATATAGAGCCCCGCCCTAACACCAGAACCCCTGACCCTGAGGCCATGAATTTCACAATTTTGGTAGAGGCACTCTTGCTCATCATAATTATTTACTGAATTAGTGTTTTTTATACCTAGGAGCAGAGAAGAAGATTTTCAAAGATTTAATGCATTTTCATTATACCGTATATACTCGCCTATAAGTCGGTTTTTTGGGAGTTAATCTCTGGTCCAAAACTGTATGTCTGACTTATAGGCGAGCTATAAAATTAATGGTATTATATGAGGTCAGTCCTGTGATATATAAGCTTATTAAATACAACCGACTTATAGGCGGACCGACTTATAGGCGAGTATATACGGTATATTCAATTTAGAGCCCCACCACTAACACCAGAACCCTTGACCCTGGGGCCATAAAATTCACAATTTTGGTAGAGGCACTCTTGCTCATCATAACTATGTGCTTAATTAGTTTATTTAATACTCAGGAACAGAGAAGAAGATTTTCAAAGAAATAATGCATTTTCACTATATAATCAATAGAGCCCCGCCCTAACACCAGAACCCCTGACCCTGGGGCCATAAAATTCATAAATTTGGTAGAGCCACTCTTGCTCATCATAACTATGAACTTTATTTGTTTATTTAATACCCAGGAGCAGAGAAGAAGATTTTTAAAGACTTACTGCATTTTCACTATATAATCAATAGAGCCCCGCCCTAACACCAGAACCCCTGACCCTGGAGCCATGAATTTCACAATTTTGGTAGAGGACTCAATGCTGATTACAATAATACCAACAGTTTGACTGCTTGATGTCCGGGAGTAAAGAAGAAGATTTTTAAAGATTGCACTATTTTTAGTGGTTTTTGCCCCACCCCCCAGGCCCCAGGGGGGCGGGAACCACGAAATTCACAATTTTTGTTACCCTTCACCCATAGATGCTATATGCCAAATTTGGTTGAAATTGGTTCAGTGGTTTCAGAGAAGAAGCTGAAAATGTTTAAATGTTAACGCACGACGGACGACGGACGACGACGGACAAAAACGGATAGCAATAGGTCACCTGAGTTTACTCAGGTGACCTAATAAAGAGATAAAAGAGCAAATTACATGTACAAGCACTGTAGAGACGCCTTGAAATATTCACTATGTCACAGTATTTGTTTGTAGACAATTTCCTGGCAGATACCAATGATTTTAAGTTTGTAAATATGTTTGAATATGAACGATATTGGTTAAGAAAATGACGTTTCTGAAAGACATTGTCTCCACTGAGCATATTATCATTCCAGGATTGAGTGTAGCTCATAAATGACCCTTTATTTGTATAGTTGAAGTTCATTTATTTCACTCACAAGAGCGTCAGTGGTACATGAGGTACAGTGTATTAGATTAGTCGTCATAATTGTGAAAAAAATTAATTAATAAATATAATTATGATTCGATAGCATAAAAAATGAGAAGCATATACATATGTACAAAGCATAGCAATAAACATATAATGAAACAAGATGTGTTTGTGAAACACTATGTATGGCACGCCAAATTCACAAAAATGAGATAATCATAGTTTCTCAATTGATAAACTAGATTTCTTTTTAACTATGCGCCTAGCAGCAACACGGTTCAAAAAAGCTATTTTTAGAATATGTGCCACAGTCAAGGTCACAAGGTCATTGTTCTTGGTGCCATTTGATAGCACTTCATTTGTGGAGTATGCATACCAAATATGAAGTCTCTATCTCGTATAGTTCAAATGGTATGCCTATAGTTCAAAAGGTATGGTGAAAGTTCGAAAAAGCTATTTTTAGCATATAGGTAACAGTCAAGGTCACAAGGTCTTTGACATTGATGTCATAAGAAAAAAAACTTGGAGTAAGCATACCAAATATGAAGTCTCTATCTCCTATGGTTCAAAAGACATGGCAAAGGTTTGAAACAGCTATTTTTAGCAAAAAGGTCACTTACTTACTTACTTAGGCCTCTTCGTGCCAGGTGGCACATAAGGCAGCCACAGAGTCTCTCCACCCAGTCCTATCCTTTGCTTTTCTTTCTACTTCTTTCCATGTCATCCCTATTTCTTTTAGCTCTTTCTCTGATGTTCTACGCCATGTTGTTTTTGGCCTGCCCCTTTTTCTCTTGCCGTCTGCTGTCCAGAATATGCTCTCTCTTGTGATGTTGTGATGGTCTTTCCTGAGCACATGTCCAACCCATCTCCACTTTCTTCTTACAATCTCCACCACTATGTCTTCCTGTCCTGACATCTCCCTGAGTTCGTTGTTGGAGACTATTTTTGGCCACCTGATCTTAAATATGTTCCGTAGGCAACGATTTACAAACACTCTCAGTTTCCTTGCGAGGTCTTTCCGGAGCTTCCAGCATTCTGATCCATATAATAGTATTGATTTTACGTTACTATTATAAATCCTAAGCTTTGTCCTAGTGGTCATGTAGGAGGAGGCCCAAACTGGTTTTAAGATGGCAAACACATGACGGGCTTTGTTGATTCTTGATGTAATATCCTCGTCAGTACCTCCAGATGTTGTTACAGTGCTGCCTAGGTATGTGAAGGTGTCTACATCTTCCAAACTCTCTCCATTAACTTGTACGGGGTTGTTATTCTGTGCATTGATTCTCATTATTTTGGTCTTGTTAAAGTTGATGTTTAATCCTAGACATCTAGCTGTTGTATAGAGTTTGTTCGTTTTCTCCTGGATTTGCTGATAGGTGGATGAGATGAGACATAGGTCATCGGCATAATCCAGGTCATCCAGTTTGTTGTCCATTCTCCATCTAATGCCATTTTTCTTATCTCTGGTAGATTCTCTCATGACCCAGTCTATAGCCACTAAGAAGAGTAGAGGCGATAACATACAGCCCTGCTTCAGTCCCGATGTAACTGGGAACCACTCTGTTTTGGTATTGTTAACCATCACACTACACTGAAATCCTTCATGCAGTACCCTGATGATGTCAATGATCTTCGGAGGTAGACCATACAATCTCAAGAGCTTCCATAAACTTTCCCGATGTACACTATCAAACGCCTTTTCAAAGTCCACAAAGTTAAGGTATAGAGAA